ATAAACAACAAGTAAAATTCTCAACAAGCCACAAGTCTGTACACACCTGTAATATCTCCCGTCATGCCCCCGTCCCGTGTACCGCTAGAGAGAGAACCTGAAGCCTGTCTACCGTCTACCACGATACGTTGGATGTGTAGTATCTCCCGTTGTCTCCTCTCCGTCAACAAGACAGAACAGAAGGAAAAAAAGAAGAAGACGAATACCCATAGACTATCCCCCGTCTAAGATGGTGGACAGATACACTAAAAAGGCTCTCTCTCTCCCGTCTCAAATACAAGATAAAAAAAGGTCATTATAAATAAAAGCCTCTTCCCGTCTACAGTAATCAACCTAAAATGCCTGACAGACGATCAAAAGGACTGTCTCTTTTATTCCTCAACTGTCTCTTACCCGTCTCTCACAACAGACAAGGAGGATGGAACACATTGACCCCTAGTATGACCTGCATGAGAGACAGACAGACAGACAGACAGACAGACAGACAGACAGACAGACACGTTCAGGACAGGAGATAAGGAAGGTGGTGGATTACCTTCTTGTACAAAGTAAAATGATATCACGCGCTCTCACTCTTTCCTCCCCTCTCTCAAGATCCACTTTGATGAAATTGGGTTCCGGGGCGAAATGGATGATTCTTTCCTCCCCCCTCCTACTCTCCCTCCCCCTCTCTCCCTCCCCCTACTCTCTCCTCCCCTACTCTCTCCCCTCCCCCCTACTCTCCTCCCCTCTACTCCCCTCCCCTCTTCTCCTCCCCTCCCCTCTCTCCCCTCCCCCCCTACTCTCCCCCCTCACCCCTACTCTCCCCTCCCCTACTGTCCCTCCCCCTACTCTCCCCTCCTCCCTACTCTCCCCTCCCCTACTGTCCCTCCCCCTACTCTCCCTCCCCTCCTACTCTCCCCTCCCCCTCTCCCCTCCCCCCTACTCTCCCCTCCTCCCTACTCTCCCCTCCCCTCTCCCTCCCCTCCTCTCCCCTCCCCTACTCTCCCCTCCCCTACTCTCCCCTCCCCTCTCTCCCCTCCCCCCTCTCCCCTCTCCCCCTCTCTCCCTCCCCCTACTCTCCCCTCCCCCCTACTCTCCCCTCCCCCTCTCCCTCCCCTCTCTCTCCCCCTCCCCCCTCTCCCCTCCCCCCTACTCTCCCCTCCCCCTACTCTCCCCTCCCCCCCCTCTCCCCTCTCCCCTCCATAGGTGTTCCTGCCCCTAACAAATCTACCACATTCTATCATTTCTCTCCACTTTCTCTACTCTAGACAATCCATCCCCCCCCTTCCCTCTCTCTCTCTCTCTCTCTCTCTCTCTCTCTCTTTCTCTTTTCTCTCCCTCTATCCTTCTCCAACATATTCCTGGGATTATCTTCATTCAACATGTTTCTTCTTTATTCTTCTCCTCTTCTCTTCCTCCTTCAATTATCATTCTTCATCCCCCACCATCCACCTTTATCAGTCTCCTCACGTTCCACTATCATCGTTTGCATTTATAAACACATGAAACTTTCCATCCAACAGAACTACCCAATTCCTAAAGAGAGAGAGAGAGAGAGAGAGAGAGAGAGGTCGCCGCGGTATAGCTACTTATTGCCTCACTACCGACGCCATCACCCGGGACATGATGAGATGATTCTCCTGGGTTACGCTATTCTCTTATCAACCTTACGAGCAGCACGCTGGAATAAGGTTGGTAGAACGGGGGTGTTTTTATATGATATCAATTAATATTTTTTATGGTCCGTGGGAAATATTTTAATGGTCCGTAATAGTATTTAATGGTCCCTGTTGATATTTTATGGTCCGTATCAGTCCGTATTAGACATATTATAGACAGGTGCAATCTTGTTCATTCAAATTTATCCATTCGAAATCAAACTCACTTTCTCACTTTCTCACTCTCTCTCTCTCTCTCTCAAACACACACACACACACACACACACACACACACACATATGCAAACACCGCAACTTACTGACCAAAAAGTTTTCTGAATCTTACAACACAAGATGGACCCCCGGAGCCAAGGTGCATATACAAACTCTGAAACATAAACATTGAAGGCGCAAACAAAACCCCTCACTGAATGGCTGAAGTTTTTGATGGTGTTTGTTTACACTCAAGGACGACTTTCTTTTCAAGTAACAACTCGAGGATAAAACGAGCGTGTTTTTTTTTTTGCCGTGTAGGGAAAAATCTACGAAAATTGAACCTCACTCAGAATTTACGTGCATGAGTTGTGATTGGTTGGTTTCATAAGGTATCTGTGTTGTGATTGGTTGGTGCAGGGATGTCATTTTACACTGTCCTAGCCTAGAGCCAAAACGACCAATAGTAATAGGGGTGTTATGGGAATGCTTGTTTTTTATTGGCCAGCCGTGAAGCGTCATGCAACAGATTAAGGCGAGAATAAACCTTACGTCACTAATTAAGAGAGGTCGGCTAGGTAATTATCAACTGGTTTATATATATACACTGTGGTTTAACGCCTGTTTTAAATAATATGTGATATAACAACATGACATACATACATACATACATACATACATACATACATACATACATACATAATGGCTGATCGTGTTTGAAGGATGATCGCCAATACACCATTCACAACCTTAAGTTAACTAGCTTTAAGATCCAGTGTTCAAGAATAAACCAAGAAGATCGGACAACTCGCCAACTGCACTGGCTAAATTTTACCTCTGGAACAACATCTAGGAAACGATTAACATCCAGGTTTCCAATTACTGCATCGGTTAGTTAGAGGTTCCTCCACCACTCCTACCCAAAATATATCTAAAAGAAAACTCTCTCTCTCTCTCTCTCTCTCTCTCTCTCTTGTAGGTATGTTCGCCTTCCTACACTCGCTGTGAGAGGAGTATTACCTTCAGTAATTGCTTCATTATTACACCCTACCATTTTCCTCGACCTTCCCAGAGTACCGTCATTATAGCTCGAGTTGGTCATTGTACTGTGGTTATCATCATTGTAGTTGATTTACACGAGAGAGAGAGAGAGAGAGAGAGAGAGAGAGTTTTATCGTGTGTGTGTGTGTGTTGGTTATTCATTGCTTGGGTATTGTAGTATGCGGGTGTATTTCTTGTATATACTTGTTATTGTTGTATGTAAAGATACTTATTGGTGTATGAGAAGGTGTGGTTAATTGAATCATACATCTATACAACGTTTATCCTCTCTTATGTATATTTTTTCTCTCGTTACACCTATCGACCTACAACATCGTGTCGTATCGTGTATGATCTCCTTGTGTCATATCGTGTCATATCGTGTCATATCGTATCATATCGTGTCATATCGTGGTTTATCTTGTCGTGTCGTGTATCAAAAGAACTCACATTGACAAGTAGTATGAGGCATGTGTGTGTCAGGACGTCGACAGGTTAACTCAACAACCAGGAATAGTTAACAATGTTCAACTATGTCCCGTTAACTTGTGTATTGGGATCAACTGTTTGGTTAATATGAACATTTTAACATTAAGACGAAAATTTATAAAAGTACATAAAAGTAGGTCCAAAAAGTAGGTCTAAAAAGTAGGTCCATAAAGTATTTAATATATATAACTTAGAAGCATTAGGACTTATTTATACAGCATTGAAAATCCATCTAGCGGTGATTGAACACCAGTGAGATGTAAGAGTAAATTTTGTTGATTAAACTGGGTGTGTGGGTGGGGTGTGAGGGTTGTAGGTGTGGGAAGGGTGTGTGGGAGGTGTGTGGGACGGGTGTAGTGGTGTGCGTTAGAGTGTGGCGGTGAGGTGACTGTAGGTGTAGGAGGAGGAGCTGGTAGCCTTTGTTAGTGCACACACACACACACACACACACACACACACACATATTTACATATCAAACACTTGTACGCACCGTGAGTATTACTGGCAAGTGTTGGATGTGTAAATATATACAGCCTGTTGTACACTCTATCACAAGTGTGTGTGTGTGTGTGTGTGTGTGTGTATGTATGCGCGTGTCATCATACAATAGGCTAAAAAATCATGACATTGTATTATTATTATTATTATTATTATTGTTATTATTATTATTATTATTATTATTATTATTATTATTATTATTATTATTATTATTATTATTATATATATATTTTTTTTCGGGAACTATCCCACCCGGGCACAGGTCAAACGACCCACAACGGAGCCTGGGGGGCGAAAAAAAAACCGGAAAGAAATTGTAAATATAGAAAAAAAGGTTATACTGTATTAATCTACACCACGAAGATGCCGGAAAACCAGCTTTTTAAAGTGAGACTGATTGTAAGAGCATGGAAACACAGAAGAAGGCAGAGCATTCCACAGTTTGGCTGTGTGAGGAAAGAAGGAGGTACTATAACGGGTCATTCTCGTGTGACCGACATCCACAGAGAAACGGTGGGCACCGCGGGCAAGACGTGTGTTACGAACCCACGGCCTTGACGGCGGTGCCCAGGATGCCAAATCCACAGAACATTGCCCGTTAAAGTACCTGTAAAAGAGAGAGAGAGTGAAGCAACATTGCGCCGAGGAGAAAGGGAAGAGAGATTGTCGACTAAAGGAGGAGAGTTAATAAGACGAAATGCCTTTGATTCCACCCTATCTAATAGTTGGATAGAAGAGCCACCCCAGATATGAGAGCAGTACTCCAAGTTAGGATGAATGAATCCCTTATATACTTGGAGCAACTGCTCAGGAGTGAAGTAACTGCGGCATCTGTACAGCATTCCCAACTTTCGGGAGGCAGCTTTAGTTATACTAAGGATGTGTGATTTCCAGGTCATATTGGAGGAAATGGTGAAGCCTAGCATATTTATTTCAGAATTTGGGAGGATGATAGCGTCCTGAAATGTAATTGGTGGCAGATCGTCTAATTTACAAAGTGTAATTGGTGCTTTTGGTGTTCTTGTCATACTATATAGAATTATGACTTAATTATCCACCAACCACTATCCACCATCCACTATCCACCATCCACTTATCCACTCCCCATTCTCTGACTTTGATCTCTCGCCTCATCTTTCATCAATCTTTATTATCTATTCTCTTCGTAATTGTTTTTGTTATATATTTTTTATTATTGTTTTTATTTTTCCTCGATTCTTTGTATTAGTTTATCTGTGTTGAGGTGTGTGGGTGTGTGTGTGTGTGTGTGTGTGTGTGTGTGTGTGTGTGTGTGTGTGTGTGTGTGTGTGTGTTGAGGTGTGTGTGTGTGTGTGTGTGTGTGTGTGTGTGTTGGAGGTGTGTGTGTGAGTGTGTGTGTGTGTGTGTGTGTGTGTGTGGTGTATAGTTTGGACATTTTCATATTTTTTAGTAAACAGAAAGTCCTGAGGAGTATCGTTTGATGTGATATTTCTGGCGAGAGAGAGAGAGAGAGAGAGAGAGAGAGAGAGAGAGAGAGAGAGAGAGAGAGAGAGAGAGAGAGAAATTTTCCAAACTCTTACAAAACGAAAAAGCAAAACACTAATTAAAAAACACACAAAAACATGATTATAAAACCCTACAGATTCTACCACCCACTCAACAACTGCTAATTAAATTTCACCTGGATGAACAGTTCGTCTCTATAAAACCTTTGATAAGAGGTAATAATAGAAACCTCACATATCACTGGAACCAATCTTATATTTTATTTTATTTTTATCTTTTCGCTGTTAATTGATCAATATTTTTCTATCTTATCTATTCATTTGGGTAAGTGTTTGAGTTGAGGGCCTCTTCATGGGGCTTCATCCACCTGTGGTCCTGCAGGTGAAGACGAAGGAGTAATTACAGGTGTGTAGGGTGGCGTGGGAGAGAGGAGAGGGAGTGTGACGCGCGGGTGTGAAAGTCTACGGTAAATGCAACCCACGTTTCACTACCTTGGTCTGTTTTGTTGTGATCGGCGCCACCAGCTAGATTTTTTTTATTCACTCACTCACTCACACACTCACTCACTCACACCCTCACTCACTCACACACTCACTCACTCACACACACACACACACACTCACACACTCACTCACTCACTCACTCACTCACTCACTCACTCACTCACTCACACACTCACTCTCTCACACACTCACTCTCTCACTCACACACTCACACACTCACTCACTCACTCACTCACTCACTCATTGCTAAACTACACACCAAGATCAGGACTTACCATGTTCTTCTTCAACAAAACTTACACTAACTCACCTAACTTATCTCAATTACACTTACTGCAACTAAACTACTACTCTAACTTACTAACTTTTTCACTGGCGGAGAATATATTTAATATTTCTCTGCCACAGCCTGAATTTAAACGTTGGATCTACTTAGAATTCATTGTAACTTAGATTAAACTGTGTGTGTGTGTCTGTGTGTGTGTGTGTCTGTGTGTGTGTGTCTGATATTTTCTTCATAACTATAAAGTAAATGTCACCAGACACACACACAGAAATATTGTAAGAGTATTGTTTAATGTAATGTTTCTGACTCAAGCACCCAGGGGAGAGAGAGAGAGAGAGAGAGAGGCTAAAGAGAGGCATAACCTGTGGCATTTTGATGACGTGTGTGTGATATTATGCATTGTCGTAATTCCATAGTCCTTTCAGGGAATTATGATAATAAAACACATTTATGTACAAAAAAGCATGAAAACGTTTTATTCAGTTCATATATATATATATATATATATATATATATATATATATATGTATATATATATATATATTCATACATATATATATTTATAAACATCCAATATATATTAACTTCACTCGCCTCAACAACTCTTCTTCAAATTACAAACAGCGAGAGGATGAAATTTTGGCCGCGATTCCTTAAAAAAACAAAAGAATCAAAGAAATAAAATTGTATTTAAAATAAAACAACAACAACAGCGAGGTCATTTGACCAATCACCCTTACGTTCATTAGCCAATAAAGGTCATAATTGACTGATAATTCTTTATACATAAGCTTGGGAATTGATAATGAATCGTATGTACAGGAGACGTAAGGGTGACTCGCCTCCAGAATTGCACACACATATATATATATATACACAGACACACACACATACACACATAGATCTGTTTTATCATGTACGTCTTCTGCGTGACTGGATTCTAATGACTTGTTTCCTCGAGTGACTGTATGGAGAGAGAGAGTTTTAAACAGTTATGTGATATGAAATTATTATTATTCATTGTCACTCAAATGCTATTGCTTTCCACACCCTTGTTATGAACTCTGAAAATCTGCAGGTGTATGACACGTGTCTTACAGGTGTGTGGCACTTGTCTTACAGGTTTATGACACGTGTCTTACAGGTGTGTGGCACTTGTCTTACAGGTTTATGACACGTGTCTTACAGGTGTGTGGCACTTGTCTTACAGGTGTGTGGCACTTGTCTTTAGATTGTGTGGCACTTGTCTTACAGGTGTGTGGCACTTGTCTTTACAAGTGTGTATCTATAGGTGTGTGGCACTTGTCTTGGGTGTGTGGCACTTGTCTTTACAGGTGTGTGACACTTGTCTTACAGGTGTGTGGCACTTGTCTTACAGGTGTGTGGCACTTGTCTTATAGGTGTGTCTTACAGGTGTGTGGCACTTGTCTTACAGGTGTGGCACTTGTCTTTGGGTGTGTGGCACTTGTCTTGCTGGGTGTGTGGCACTTGTCTTTGGGTGTGTGGCACTTGTCTTACAGATTAATGTACTTATCTTACAGGTGTCTTTGCTTGTCTTACAGGTGTAGCACTTGTCTTACAGGTGTGTGTGGTGTCTTACAGGTGTGTGGCACTTATCTTACAGGTGTGTGGCACTTGTCTTACAGGTGTGTGGCACTTGTCTTTGGGTGTGTGGCACGTGTCTTACAGGTGTGTGGGTGTGTGGCACTTGTCTTATGGGTGTGGCACTTGTCTTACAGGTGTGTGGCACTTGTCTTTGGGTGTGTGGCACTTGTCTTACAGGTGTGTGTGCTTGTCTTACAGGTGTGTGGCACTTGTCTCTTACAGGTGTGTGGCACTTGTCTTACAGGTGTGTGGCACTTGTCTTACAGGTGTGTGGCACTTGTCTTACAGGTGTGTGGCACTTGTCTTACAGGTGTGTGGCACTTGTCTTACAGGTGTGTGGCACTTGTCTTACAGGTGTGTGGCACTTGTCTTATAGGTGTGTGATACATGACTTACAAGTGAAAGGTATGTGTGTTGCAGACTGCCTCACTTTTTCTACATTCGTTTAACAAGTCGTTACCTAGTGATTTGTTTTGTTCGTTACCAGCTGTTCCTAGTTGTTAACAGCTGATTAATTTTGTTATTAGCGTCAGCTGAGCCACCAGGTAACCTTACCTGTATATGTAATCACCAGTCCCCCAGGTAATTGCCTTAGTACTTTATTAATGATAAATAGTTTATTCATAATTATATCTAAACACAACAATTCATTATTAAATTTTTTATCGAATCAACTTTTCCAACACATATATCTCAGAGTGCATCTATAGCTATATATATGTTCACCGTCCACTCTGTAACAACACCTCTCGTGCTGTTGGGGAAAAATATAATTTTTTTTATCAGAACATCGGTATTGAGCTATGATACCTCTTATCTGTGTGTGTGTGTGTGTGTGTGTGTGTGTGTGTGTGTGTGTGTGTGTTTACATAAGACAGTGTGCACATATTTGCTTACATATATGCCGGTATTAGCTTTACAGTCTTTCACCCTCCCGTCTGCTGCACACCGTCTTGAGGTTGTTGTCTGTCTGTCACTCATTGATGTCAGCGGTGACATGAAGTTACCACCGGAAACCATCACCTAACACCACATGTTGTACCTGTGATGTTTACTGCTGCTCACATTATATATATATATATATATATATATATATATATATATATATATATATATATATATATATATATATATCTTTTATGTTGATTTTTTCATCCATATTGCTACATTTATTGAAAATTGCTAACACAACATTACAGAAATATCCTGACACAGTCACTCCCAGTATCGCTGTGTTACAATATGTCATCAAAGTGATATATTGTTGCCAACACAACAGGAGTCCACAGTGGCTGGCAGACACTCAACACACAGCACGTAATAACCTCTCAGGGGTGTCGTGCTGAGGTGGCTACACCATGGTAACACATCTTGCTATGAGACACATGTTGATTCAGTATCAAGTGTAGATTATGTACAGTACAGCCGCCACACTCACACCTGTACACGTGCACTAGTGTGTGGTGGTCACACCCGGGAGGAGAAGTAACTAATGTGACCCTCCATAACGAAGGACACATAACAGTAACACAGTGACCCTGCTTGACCTACGCAACACAGGTCACACTAATTAACACAGTGGCTCAAGTTGACCCTAAAACGTAGGTCACATCACAGTAACACGATGACCCACACTAACCACCTTAATTAATCATATTAAAATAACAATATGATCCCAGTTAACCTCCAACAACGAGGCGTCACACAAGCGGGGAGCAACGACTTACAAAGACCTTCATTTGGGGAGAAAAAAAAGGTCATAGGGAGAAGGACCTATGATGATCCGTGCGTGTCAGGTCAAAGGTCAACTAGACGAAGCTCTCGTTATTGAGTCTCGTGGTACGTAGGTGCGGGTGCTGCCCACACTGGTAGGACTGCCTGCTGACTGTACGACCAAACACACACACACAGGGAGAATAAAAAAACACGTTAATAAATCACACCAACACACACTAATGAATTAAAAAACACCCCACAAACACACACACGCAACAACAAATAAATAATCTGCAACGAAAAATACCAACATGAGAAACATTAAGAAATTACAGAACATAAATATATGATAAAAGGTCATAACACGTGATAAATGACAAGGCATAAGAATGTAACGATAACAACATGAGATAATAACATGATAGATATATACCCCCCCTCTCCCCTGGACCCCACAAACAAACAAACAAACAAACAAAATAAGTGTTTCCCCAGATATTTGTTTAATATTGTAGAGGAATATCATTATCATCATCATCATCATCATTATCATCATCATCATCATCATTATCATCATCATCATCATCATTATCATCATTATCATCATCATTTTCTGCAGCTAATTCTCTTTTCGTTTTTGTCATGATGTTTTTACTGTCTCGTTAACTCACTATGAAGGGGTAAACACTCCTCCACTAACAAGCTGTGAGAGACTCTCCTACCTGCATCTTTGTTAATGAGATACTTCACCTGTGTCGCTAGCATGGTAGTCAGCAACACGACCTGAATCTAGTGTAACAGTATCTGCTTTGTACGTATGCATGCATGTAATAATAATAATAATGTGTGTATGTATGTATGTATGTGTGTGTGTGTGTGTGTGTGTGTGTGTGTGTGTGTGTCCTAAATACAGAATTATCGTACTCAAGTATTTAAGTCATCGTACTCAAGGGGTTTAAGTATGACCTCTACTGCTCCTGTAAGTGAAGTATTACACACACACACACACACAAGATCTCTCGAGAACTTTAATTAACCCACCACCGTCGTCCGGGTAGACAATGTGGCGTCACTCACAGAATAATTATTGCATTTGAGGCCTCACGTCACCTGGGGGAGCCCTTAACTTACCTGAGTGACGCACCTGTATGAGTTACCTGAGCTATACACTTAAGTTACCTGAGTGTTACCTGAGTTTTACACTTAAGTTACCTGAATGTTACCTGAGTTGTACACTTAAGTTACCTTTAGTGTTACCTGTATGAGTTACCTGAGTTATACACTTAAGTTACCTAAGTGTTACCTGAGTTGTACACTAGTTACCTTTAGTGTTACCTGTATGAGTTACCTGAGATGTACACTTAAGTTACCTGAGTTTTACCTGAATGAGTCACCGGAGTCATGCACCTGATTCACTTTATTAGCCTGATATAATGATACCTCACTAGTCTCACCTGCGTAATAAACACCTAGTAAGACTCTCACCTGCACAGTAAACAAACATGAGACTCTCACTTGCGCACTACACACTTTATAAGACTCACCTGTGCAGTAAACACCCATAAGGCTCTCACTCGCGCAGTCAACACCTTATAAGGCTCTCACTCGCGCAGTCAACACCTTATAAGGCTCTCACTCGCGCAGTAAACACCCATAAGGCTCTTACCTGCGTAGTTATGTCTTGAGGCTCGAGAGGACCATCCTGAGACTCCGGGGTGTTGAGCTCGTCGTCTGCGTCCTCAGCCCCATCCAGCGAGGCTTTGGTCGAGGGTGAGGGTGGCACTGTAAGATGGCACCAGTGTTTACTAAGCCTGTGTGGCACTTGGGGCCATCTGGGGTGTAGGTCATGTTGGGTGTGGGTCATGTTGGGTGTGGGCCATGTGGGCCATGGGTGTGGGCCATGCTTGTGGTGTGGGCCATGTTGGGTGTGGGCCATGTGGGGTGTGGGCCATGTTGGGTGTGGGCCATGTGGGGTGTGTGGGCCATGTAGGGTGTGGGCCATGTTGAGTTGTGTGAGGCCATGTTGGGTGTGGAGCTTCCCAGGTTGGAGTGTGGGCCATGTTGGAGTCTATGAGCTCTGTAGGGTGTGGGCCATGTTGGATGTGGGCCATGTTGGGTATGGGCCATGTTGGGGTGTGGGCCATGTAGGGTGTGTGCCGTGTGGGGTGTAGAAGAAGTGTAAATTAATATTGTTATGCGGGAATGTGGTAACAGTATACATTGGTTAGGTTGAATGTTGACACAGTGTATATGTTGGAATGTGGAATGTGTTACCAGTATAGATTTGTGTGGAATTATGTAGAATGTGGTAATAATGGACAGTGGTGTTAACACTATGTAATGTGGCAACAGTGTATATTACCAGTTGTCTTGTGTAATGTGGTTAATACTGTAATGTAGTAATGTTGATGAAATGTGGAATTTAAATTATTATTGAAGTGGCTGAAATGTGGTAGAATTATAACGTTGAGTGATAAATGGAAAGTTGTATAGATATGATATAGATAGATAGAGGAAGATAAGTAAGTAAAGGGTATGTATAGATAGAGGAAGATAAGTAAATAGATCATTAAGAGTTGAATAATACAATCCGGGGGGAATAATCTTTGTTGATGGAGAAAATTAAGCTGTAGTGAGGTGATTATTAAGGTCTGAGGGTTGGAGATCACGGCCCACTAACCTAACCTAACCTAACCTAATCTAACCTACCCTAACCTAATCTAACCTAACAGATCTGAAACACCGTGTGAAAGTTATAAACAGAGATACAGGCATTACTTCACATAATAAAAATTGAGGGATATTTTGTATACCGTGTGTGTAATCTTTCAGTAAATCTTGCAGGTAATCAAGGTGTGTGTGTGTGTGTGTGTGTGTGTGTGTGTGTGTGTGTGTGTGTGTGTGTGTGTGTTTCTCAACCATCAATGTTCCTTTCTCAATTCGATCTTCTATAGTGATAAGATGAAAAATATGTATTAAACTGTATGAAATTGCAGCCTTGTCATGATTTAGTTTGAGGATTTATTGTAATACCCCGACACACTGTCAATAGCTCACTGACAGCTAGAATATTAAGCTGTCAGTTAAAAAAAAAAAGCTATCATCTTAACTCATTTACCATAGTGATTTATTTACCTTCATCCACATCCCTGAGTTTGGTGTTGTCGTCATTGGTGGTGGCGGCGGCGTCCGGAACCCCGCGTCGACGTCGGCATCGGGATCGGGTAGCCACCGCCAGAACCGTCAGGATGAAGACGAAGCCACTCACCACACCCACGAACACAGCCAGTAATGGGGAAGACTCGGTGGAGCTTGAGTTATCTATATAAATAACAACATAACATCAATAAATAACAACTTTTACAATAACTTTTTTTTTTAACACTGAGGACGTTGGTTTAAGGTTATTTTAATCACCTCAAAGGGTTATTACACCTTAATATACCATGGTCTTCTGTGATATAAGATGCCAAGAGACTATAGGGACTCTCTGATATAGAAGGTAAATTGACGTGGACTGACTGGTATTTAATATAACAAGCCATAAACCCTGACTTGAGAACGTAAACATCTGATATAACGTATAAATGAGGCAGATGATTATTATGTATGATATGACTGACAATATATAATCACTTTAACAACCATCACAACCACCACGACAACTACAACTACCACCACAATAACCACAACAACCATCACACAGCCACCACAATAGCTACAACAACAACCACCACCACCACCACAACAACAACTACAACAACAACCACCACCACAACAACTACAACAACAACCACCACCACCACCACCACCACAACAACTATAGCAACCACCACCACCACCACAACTACAACAACAACAACAACAACAACAGAGTACAATAACCTCACTATTTAATAACACATCCTCAGTAAGTCACTATAACACACTCAACACAACGCACTCAACACAAAAGGCACTCACTACAACACAATCAACTCAAAAGCCACTCACTACAACGCACTCACTACAACACAAGAGGCACTCACTACAACACACTCAATACAACGCACTCAACACAAGAGGCACTCACTACAACACAGAAGGCAATCAATACAATACAGAAGGCACTCACTCCAACACACTCAACACAACGCACTCAATCAACACAAAAGGCAATCACTACAACACAAGAGGCACTCACTACAACACAAAAGGCACTCACTACAACACACACCACACTGAATTTCGGTAATTGGTCTTCGTATTGGTGAGAGTGCCAGATTGCCACTATTTATATGGCACTATTATCGTACCCAACAATTGCAAGTGTCATCATTGGTTGATTTCATGTGCCGGGAGATGAACTTAGAGGATGGATAGAATGGTGTTTGTGTATTAACTAAGACGATGGTGATTGTTATTGGTTGTGTAAGGGGATTGGGGGGAGGGGAGGCTTGTTAGGTTATAGTGTATAGTGTATATTCCACCTAAACACATACACACGCACACAAAATAACATCGAAAATACCCACACACACACACACCCACACACACCTGAACACACACACCCACACACACCCACACACCCACAACACACACCCACAACACCCACAACACTCACTTATCTTGTTCTCCGCCACCTTGAGAGCAAAACCCTGGATCACGTAAGGGACTGAACGACCCTTGGTGTTGACGGCGGTGACCAGCAGTAGGTAGTCCCGCCCAGGAGCCAGGCCGCCTACTGCGAAGGTGGGCGTAGGTGAGGACACGTTAGCCACTGTCTCCTGCGTCGCTGCGTCTCTAACCTGCCAGGGAGAAGCAGTGGTTTGTCAGGCTTAAGAGGCGTGGAGAGGTAGGTAGTTGGGGTACAGGTAGACGGGGTACAGGTAGGTGGAGTACAGGTAGACGGGGTACAGGTAGGTGGGGTACAGGTAGACAGGGTACAGGTAGGTGGAGTACAGGTAGACGGGGTACAGGTAGGTGGAGTACAGGTAGACGGGGTACAGGTAGGTGGAGTACAGGGTAGACAGGGGTACAGGTGGGTGGGGTACAGGTAGACGGGGTACAGGTGGGTGGAGTCTGGGTGGACAGGTGCTGGAGTGGGTGGGGGTACAGGTAGACAGGGTACAGGTGGGTGGAGTACAGGTGAACAGGGTACAGGTGGGTGGGGTACAGGTGGACGGGTACAGGTGGGTGGAGTACAGGTGGACAGGGGTCGGTAGGAGTACAGGCAGACAGGGGGTGGGTGGACTGAGTGGACGGGGTACAGGTGGGTGGGGTACAGGTAGACAGGGTACAGGTAGGTGGAGTCAGGGAGACGGGGTACAGGTGGGTGGAGTGCAGTAGACGGGGTACAGGTGGGTGGAGTCAGGTAGACGGGGTGGGTAGGTGGAGTCAGGTAGACGGGTGCAGGTGGGTGGGTACAGGTAGACAGGGTACAGGTAGGTGGAGTACAGGTAGACAGGGTACAGGTAGGTGGGGTACAGGTAGACGGGGTACAGGTGGGTGGAGTACAGTGGACCAGGGTACAGGTGGGTGGAGTAGACAGGGGTACAGGTAGACAGGGTACAGGTAGACGGGGTACAGGTAGACGGGGCACAGGTAGATAAGGTACAGGTACACTGGACGCAGAAAATCAAAATTATTACGTTACAGAAAACAGAAATAAAAGAAAATATGAACACAGGAACAATAAAAAATAATATCCGGGTCAACAAAACTGAAGAAAAATTGTTAGAAAGACGACAGAAAAATATTTAGGGTTTGATGATTTATTTAGAGGAAGAGGAGGAGGAGGAGGAGGTGGATGACGGTGAAGATTGATGGTGATAATGATAATGCCGATTGATAATAATTGATGATAACATTATTTACAAACATAGTAATAAAAATAACAAATAATATTAATACAAACACACACACACACACACACTCGCGTCACGTGGGGTTGGTATAGTACCCTAGTCTTACAAACTTGTGGTGGTCGATGGAAAAAAAAAAGAATTCTAGAGGATTATGTCTTCCGAACACAGGAGGTGAGACATATAGCTGGATTATGGCTGATTGTGAGAAATGAAACGGTGGTCAGGAACAGCCAAAAGGATTTAAGAGAGAAATCGGTCGTGGAGTTCAGATTTTTTTTTTCGTGGTGGATGAAGGATCTAAATTCTTATGGATTAATGGAATAAATTAATTTGTTGGTGGATTCAGATAAAAGTATAGAATTTTATTAACTTTAGAGACTGTGTGTGTGTGTGTGTGTGTGTGTGTGTGTGTGTCAGATTTGCATAATACACACCTCGTTACTCAATGTTATGATGGATGGATTAATTGATGCGTGGGAGAGTGGGAGTGAGTGACGGTGGTGAGAAGAGTGTGAGTGGTGACGATGGTGAGAGGAGAGTGGGAGTGAGTGACGATGGTGAAGAGTGGGAAGTGAGTGACGATGGTGGGAGGAGCGTGTGAGTGAGTGTCGGTGGTGAGAGGAGAGTGTGAGTGAGTTACGGTGGTGAGAGGAGAGTGGGAGAGTGACGGTGGTGAGAGGGAGAATGAGGAGTGAGTCGGTGGTGAGAGGAGAGTGTGAGTGAGTGACGATGGTGAGAAGAGAGTGGGAGTGAGTGACGATGGTGGGAGGAGACTGGGAGTGAGTGACGGTGGTGAGAGGAGAGTGTGGTGAGTGACGGTGGTGAGAGGAGAGTGGGAGTGAGTGACGGTGGTGAGAGGAGGTGGGAGTGAGTGACGGCAGGTGAATGAGTGACATTCAGACAAAATAAACAAATGGTTATGAGTGAGTGTAATCAACAGCTGAGAGAAAGAAAGAAAGACAGAAAGAAAGAGAAAGAGAGAGAGAAAAAAACTAGCCATTTTTAATTCTCCTTTTTCGTTGTGGATCATAATTCCTTTTTTGTTTTCCATTTTGTGTTGCGTTAGTTCATGGTGTAGGTTTGGTGTGGGTGTTGCAGGGAGTGTTTCAGTAAAACTTGGTTATTTGTGTTTGATGTTGAGGGTGTTGGCTGGTAAAACACACACACACACACACACACAGACACACACACACACACACACACACACACACACAAGACCGTTATTTGACCGTATTATGATGAAAGTATCCTATAATGATCAGTTTTTGTATGGTCTGTACAGGTAGATGCGGTACAGGTAGACGGATCCCAGGTAGACAGGGCACAGGTAAGCACTAAGCCTGTACGTGTGAAGTTGCTACTGTTGTCTTGCACTAAACGATGGTAGTATTGTCACCGTTACCACCTCGAGTTAACGCGTCAAGAAAAAGGTATATATATATATATATTTTTTTTTACTCCATGAGCCAAATACGTGAGTGGAATTTCGCCTGTGAATTGCTTTCCATATCTTGCTGCAGGTACTTGTGGGAGTCCTAATGCTCCGCTACGACGTATAAATAGTAAGAGAGGGAGGTTTATATTCTCACGCCTGGAGGAGGAGGAGGAGGAGGAGGTGAAGGAGTCATAACCTTTCGATCCGACAACAAAATCAAAATATCGAATTTCTTCATCAAATTCCTTTCACTCCTACGCTACATCCAAGGTCACTTACCCCCCTCCCCTCCTCCCACTCACGGGTCAATGCTTACACCGCCCTCTCTCGCTACAAGGAGAGAGGGATGGATGAAGGGGGTCGGGTGGCAAGGAATGATGATATAATGCTATCATCTTTCAGTGTTAGACGACCAGGCCTGTGTGTGTGTGTGTGTGTGTCACGCTTCATACCTGTCCTGACCAAGACCCTTACCTGAGTCTTAACAGAGAGAGAGAGAGACCACCTTTACATTACGCTTGAGGGAGAATATTCTAATAAAAAAAATAAAAAAACACCCAGGTAGGATTACACACTGTTACCTTGAGGGGGGGTTCATGGTTCAAACTCCTGGCTGGGTTCACACCGGGTCACCTAGGCTCACCGTCTCCTCTAATGGCAGGTATTTGGATATTTTTTCCTTCCACGTTCTCTGCTTATAGTGGCCACCATTAGCGAGTGGCTGTTGTGAGTCTTGGCCTATAAGGAGCAATATGGCCCTTCTTGTTGGAGGTGTAAGGGTGCCAGGGAGGTCATAGAGTGCCAGGGAGAATATAGAGTGCCAGGGATATTATAGGGTGCTAGGGAGGTCCAGGGAGGAGTGCCAGGAGGCTATAGAGTGCCAGGGAGACTATAGAGTGCCAGGGAGACAAGAGTGCTAGGGAGATTATAGAGTGCCAGGAGGTCAGGGAGGAGTGCTAGGGAGACTATAGAGTGGTAGGGTGGTCCAGGGAGGAGTGCCAGGAGACTATAGGTGCCAGAGATATGGGGTGCCGGGAGGAGTGCCAGGAGACTATAGAGTGCTAGGGAGACTATAAGTGGCAGGAGGTCAGGAGGAGTGCAGGGGAGACTATGGAGTGCAGAGATATTATAGGGTGCCAAGGAGGGTGCTAGGGAGACTATAGAGTGCCAGGAGGCTACAGAGTGCTAAGGAAGTTATGGGGTGCCAAGGAGGTTCAGAAGATTCAGAAAGACTAAAGGATGCCAGGAGGAGTGCCAGGGTGATTAAAAGGGTGTCAGGGAGAGTGCCAGGTAGATTATAGTGTGACAGGGGGATCCAGGGAGATTCAACAGGTATCAGGGAGGTCAAGAAATGTCAGAGAGTTAGTGTCACGTCAGCAGGTAGAGATCAGCAGGGAGGTCAATAGGTGTGTGTGTGTGTGTGTGTGTGTGTGTGTGCAATATACCCACACTATACACGGGAAAGTGTAAATAACCGTAAGACAGTTTTAACCACGAGAGTGGCAGCAAAAGCCTCCAAGCTATGAACCTCCGCTGCCAGACATATGACGTATCACCTTTTTTTTTGGTCCCTGCCGTGAATATTTTCCTGGAAATCGTTCACACTTAAACCATGATTCCTGTAGAGTTCTTAAGGTGTGACGGGACCAAGTTTATTTTTTTATTGAGAGAGAGAGAGAGAGAGAGAGAGAGAGAGAGAGAGAGAGAGAGTTATAATCATTTTCTTTATTTCTCCTTTACTTTCCATTTATTCCCTTTTGATTGTATGTCTTTCGTTCTTTCATATTCTATCTTTATCTTTCTATTTCTTCCTCTACGTTCTTTTCTCTTTTCTCTTTTTTTACTCTCTCCCTCACTTCCACTCTCTTCTCTCCTTTTTCTTTCTCTCGCTCACCTTCCATCACCCTAACCTCCCTCACTCTTTCACCCCCCTCCCCACCCGTCCCCACCCCCTCCCTCACCTCTTTCACCCTCCCTCACCCTTCACCCCCTCCCCACCCTCCCCCCACCTCCCTCACCCCCCCCCTCCCTCACCCTCCCCCCACCCCCCACACCCCACCCTCCTCACCCTCCCCACCCCTCACCCTCCCCACCTCCCTCACCCTTCTCCCTCACCCCTTCCCCACACCCACCTCCCCTCACACCTCCCCCACACCCTCCCTCACCCTCCCTCACCTCCCTCACCCTCCCCACCCTCCCACCCCCTCCCTCACACCCTCCTCCCTCACCCCTCCCCACCCCCCTCTCTCACCCCTCCCCACCTCTCCTCACCTCTCCCTCACCCCCTCCCCCCACCCTTCTCCCCTCACCCTCACACCCCACCCTCCCCACACCCTCCCTCAACCCCCTCCCTCACACCCCCTCCCTCACACCCCCTCACCCCTCTCCCCCACTCTCCTCACCTCACCCCTCACTCGCTCCCTCACACCCCACCCCCCTCATCCTCCTCCCTCACCCTCCCCCCCTCACCCTCCCTCACCACCCTCCCCCACCCCCCCCCTCCCCACCCCCCCCCTCCCCCACCCTCCCCACCCTCCCCACCCTCACCCCTCCCCCACCTCTCCTCACCCTCCCCCTCCCTCACACCCCCCACCTCCTCACACCTCCTCACACCCTCCCCTCACCCTCCTCACCCTCCTCACCCCCTCTTTCACCCCTCCTCACCCCCTCCTCACCTCCTCACCCCTCCCCACCCTCCTCACCTCTCCTCACCCCCCTCCCCACCCCCTCCCTCACCCCACCCTCCCCCTCCCTCACACCCTCCCCACACCCCCTCCCCCCACCCCCCCCTCCCCACCCTCCCCACCCTCCCTCTTTCCCTCTCCTCACCCCCTCCCTCACCCCCTCCCTCACCCCCTCCCTCACCCCTCCCTCACCCCTCCTCACCCTTCACCCCCTCCCCTCACCCCCACACCTCGCATACTCACGGTCGTCACAAAGTACTGTTTTAGGTCCCCGTCTGGCCAGGAACACAGGACACAGCGAGGGAGGTGGCGCTTGGTTGACCAACGTGCAGGATGATGGCTGCTCTGGGGGCCTGGGGAGTGAGGAGGAGAACATGGTGAGAGAGAGAGAGAGAGAGAGAGAGTTTAGGTGTGTATGTGAGTGGGGTGTATGTGTGTGTGTGTGTGTGTGTGTGTGTGTGTGTGTGTGTGTGTGTGTGTGTGTGTGTGTGTGTAGAAGAATTACCATAAAGACGCCACTGACCAAAGCCATATATATATATAGATAAAAATAAACACCCAAAGGTCAATATATAACCCCTCCCCCACCACCTTTCCCCCCACCACCTCCCCCACCACCTCCCCACACACCCCCTCCAAAAAAAAAATAAGGATATCAAAACACACCGAAGCACATTTTTATTCATCGACTCAGACACAGGTGATTTAAATCCTCATTATACCTGGATATTTTTATAATACGATAGACCATTACCCCCAAAAAAAAAAATAATAAAAAAAAAAAATGTCTATCTCTAGGCTTTCGTTATTCTAAATCTGATTCTCTTTCGTAAATAGAGAAAGAAGAGTTAGCTATATCAAAGTATTAGGAGGATAAGATACACAGCTGTCTAACTTTACCACGACAACATTACGAAAAACTCTCACCTGTTGCCTACCTGTGTCTGACGGCGTGAACAATAATGTGTGTGTGTGTGTGTGTGTGTGTGTGTGTGTGTGTGTGTGTGTGTGTGTGTGTGTGAGAGACAATATCCTGTGATGGATCATTGGGAAAATACACAGGTAATGGAGTTTATTGGTGGCAAGCGTTCACCTTTGACCTTCCCCCACACCGATATGAACACAGTCTGCCGCGGTGATAATGGTGGGAGTGGCACCCAAGCTGTCTGGCCTCTGATGGTGATTAAGTAGAGAAACTAGCTGGGAGGGAGACTTGTTGTGGTGGTGAGTGGTGGTGAGTGGTGGTGTGTGGTGATGTTGTGGTGGTGAGTGGTGGTGAGTGGTGGTGTGTGGTGAGTGAGTGAGTGGTGTGTTATGGTGTTGTGGTGGTGTGGTGGTGTGTGGTGGTGTGTGGTGGTGTGTGGTGGTGAGTGGTGGTGTGTGGTGGTGAGTGGTGGTGTGGTGGTGAGTGGTGGTGTGTGGTGGTTGTTGATGGTGTAGGTGTGGTGGTGGTGTGGTGGTGTGTGGTGTGTGTGTGTGGTGTGTTGGTGAGTGGTGGTTGTTGATGGTGTGGGTGTGTGGTGGTGATGCTGTGTGGTGGTGATGCTGTGTGGTGGTGATGTTGTGTGATGGTGGAAATAGTTGTTTGGTGCTTCTTCTACTGGGGTGATGAGACATGTGTCTTACCTGCTGGGGTGATGAGGGGCATGTGTCTTACCTGCTGGGGTGATGGGGAACACTCTGTCTTACCTGCTGGGGTGATGAGAAACATGTGTCTTACCTGCTGGGGTGATGAGGAACATGTGTCTTACCTGCTGGGGTGATGAGGAACATGTGTCTTACCTGCTGGGGTGATGAGGAACATGTGTCTTACCTGCTGGGGTGATGAGGAACATGCAGGGGATCTTCTGGCTGCCCAATCGGTTACGGCCCAGGCAGAAGACGACACCGTACTGATCGTGGGCGTGGGCGTGAGAGTTTGGGCGGTACACGAGGGTGCTGGTCCGCCCACGGGTAGTATAGGTCGTGGGCGCCAGGTCCTTCACTCCCCGACTGCTGTTGACCTTCCACAAGAACTGTACCTGTTTAAGACGAGAAGTTTACCTGTTATGGACGAGAAGTGTACCTGTTATGGACGAGAAGTGTACCTGTTATGGACGAGAAGTGTACCTGTTATGGACGAGAAGTGTACCTGTTATGGACGAGAAGTGTACCTGTTATGGACGAAAGTGTACCTGTTATGGACGAAGTGTACCTGTTATGGACGAAGTGTAGCCTATTTATGGACGAAGTGTACCTGTTATGGACGAGAAGTGTACCTGTTATGGGACGAGAAGTGTACCTGTTATGGACGAAGTGTACCTGTTATGGACGAGGAGTGTACCTGTTATGGACGAGAAATTATTTACCTGTTATGGACGAAGTGTACCTGTTATGGACGAGAAGTGTACCTGTTATGGTCGAAGTGTACCTGTTATGGACGAGAAGTGTACCTGTTATGGACGAGAAGTGCACCTGTTATGGACGAGAAGTGTGCCTGTTATGGACGAAGTGTACCTGTTATGGACCGAAGTGTACCTGTGTTATGGACGAAGTGTACCTGTTATGGACTGAAGTGTACCTGTTATGGACGAGAAGTGTACCTGTTATGGACGAGAAGTGTACCACCTGGACGAGAAGTGTACCTGTTATGGACAAGAGATGTACCTGTTATGGACGAGAAGTGTACCTGTTATGGACGAGAAGTGTACCTGTTATGGACGAGAAGTGTACCTGTTATGGACGAGAAGTGTACCTGTTTAAGACGAGAAGTGTACCTGTTATGGACGAGAAGTGTACCTGTTATGGACGAGAAGTGTACCTGTTATGGACGAGAAGTGTACCCAGTCCGTCTCAACAGGGTCGTAACACATCCCTTACATAACTCACTTGTCGTATTATTCAGTACAAACTATTTCCAACTATCATCAACATGTTTGCATCAATGAGGAAGCTGCACCCTCTTGACCTCCAGTTGTGACATTGACCTTTAAAACAAAACAAAGACCTGAATGATGTTTTCTGTGCCTCGTTTAGTGATGTTTGTTTACGTTATGTCTCCTTAAATATTCGTGTTGACATGAGTATGATTATCCATATAGGTGAATCATACTAGCATTTGTTTAACCTCTGTGTTAAAAGAAACTTGACAGGTGTTGAGAATGTCAGTATTTGTCCGGTCATACATTCTTTTCTTACTGGTTTGACCTTTCACAGTGATTCTTGACCTTTGACCTTCAATGGATCATAATTTAATTTGTTTATCATTTTGGCCAATTATTTATCTACAAAACGTAGTCCAAATCCTTAATAAACTCTTGTGTTGTGGACTGCTGGGTAAGGCCTCAATAATAAGGGTCTACAATAATAACAATCCATTATTTTACAGTAAAGATATAACTAACACGATCAGGTAAATATTATCTTAATCTCTTCACCTGGTGTTAAATTAATCAACCACTAACACAGGTATAGAGCGATATTATATATATGAAGATAAATAACCAAGAAAAAACACACCAGAATGCTTTATGTGTGGTTTGTTTGAGTGTTTTAAAAATCAGTTATTTTTTGATGTTCCGTCAACACGCGGGAAAAAAAAAAATCTCAGATCAACCCTTGTGTGCCAACCAAGGCTATTGTTCCTGTGTACCATAACACCTCACCAACCAGTTACCTCCCCTTGTTTTCTCTTCAACCTTCTCCCCAAAACTTTCCTGATTTCTGTTACTTTTTATTTTATTTATTCCTTCTCTTGTATTTTCACTATTGGGGACTATTTAAGGGCTATATGTCAGCCCTTCTTCAGCCCCTGGTAAAGATAGAAGAAAATAGTATCACATTCGGAAAATAGAGATAATTGTCCTGCCCTTACACTTTCCTCTGTCTTTAACCTCCTTCAGTCTGTCTTGTGTGTGTGTGTGTGTGTGTGTCTGTGTGTGTGTGTCCGTGTCTGTGTGTGTGTGTGTCTGTGTGTGTGCGTGTGTATGTATCTCTCAACCATGATCCTACCACCTTAACTTGTGTCATCCCGTTAATATCCTTCACGTAATCGACTCATTCTAGGCTCCTTTGAACACCGTCTCCTCACGTCCTCTCCTCCTCTTGTCCTCCCGCTTACCCTCCCTCCCTCTCTCTCTCTCTCTTTGTCATCTCTACCATCTGATTATTTATACTTGACACTGATGCTCTTGGTCAAATTATTATACTGTGTCGATTTATCACATTTAGACGCCTTAGAGACATTCCCAGTTCCCACCATAACACCTTGATTTTTATTCCTCTCCAACAAATTCTTCCCCAACAAACTCCTCTCCAACAAACTCCTCTCCAACATAATCATACACCAACACAGACACATACAGACCATTTCACTGTCTTAATAAATCACCATCTTCAGTTTTTGTAATCATTCTTCTATCTCTCTCTCTCTCTCTCTCTTATTTTCTCTTCTCTCTTTCTCTTTTTCTTCTCCTGTTCCCACTTTAATCCTCACTACTTCTTTCTCACCTTTACCTCACACTAACTTCAACACCGACTTCAAGTATTAATTAGTCTTGTCCACCTGGTTCACCCCCCTCCTCCTCCTCCTACTCCTCCTCCTGCTTCTCTTCTTCCTCCTCCTCCTCCTCCTCCTCTTCCTGTACACAAACCTACCTTCATTTTACTCCAACTTCAGTTACTTTTAAACATTGTTGTTACTGTTACATTCTCCTCTGTTGCTACTGTTACGTCAAGACCACCCACAAACAGGAGCTCCCACACTCACCAGCCCTTGATACCCTGTCACAGTATACCCGTCAGGAGAAATGACCTGAGACATTCCTATTGTGTGTCTGCTTGACGAATGATCAGGTGCTGTCCTTCTACCTACAGCGTCACTTAGAGGCAATGGAAAGCTGACAGAGCAAGATACACGTTCATATTTCTCAAAAGGAGTGTGTGTGTGTGTGTGTGTGTGTGTGTGTGTGTGTGTGTGTGTGTGTGTGTGTGTGTGTGTGTGTGTGTGTACAATGCCTGCAGAAGAAAGATACAAGTCGCATTAATGTTTCAGAAGGTGAGGCACAACTTTCAGGTTCACTCCTACTGAAGATTTCATAACCGGTAGAGTTAGACTGGCAGCGGAGGAAGGTGTTGGTGACATAACAACTGTACTTATACCTGCCAGATACACCACACACCTGCCAGACACACCACACACCTGCCAGACACACCACACACCTATCTGACACACCACACACCTGTCAGTCACACTAAACACCTGTCAGACACACCACACACCTGTCAGACACACCACACCTGTCAGACACACCACACACCTGCCAGTCACACCACACACCTGTCAGTCACGCAAGACATCTGTCAGTTATACTACACATCTACCAGTCACACTACACATCTGCCAGATACACTACACATCTGCCAGTCACACTACATATCTGCCAGATACACTACACATCTGTCAGTCATTACACACACTTGATAACACCTGACACGCACCTGCCAGGTATAAATATATTTAGTAACGTTTGTAATTAGTGCCAGGATTAACACACACACACACACACACACACACACACACACACACACACTTACCTCTTTTCAGGGTTGGATTCGACGACACAGTCCAGCGTCACCTCCCTAGCCGTGATTTGGTGACGGTGACGTTACGAGGCTCCCTGGCACTCTGGTATTAAATCCGTGAGAGAGAGATGGTGTGTGACGGGGGTGTTATGGTGTGTGATTTGGTTGTGACGGTAATCTTTAACGATGTTTTATCTACACACATTTTGTTCTCTCTCTCTCTCACACATACAGAAACAAAACAAAAATAAAAATATGTAATTTATATAAACAAAAAGTACAAAAAAGAGGTAAAATAAACCTTACTTTTTACTTGAAGTAAATAAGATGCCAGGTTATGTCTGGGGAGGTGGCACTGTGCAGGGGTGGCACTGTGTGTGGGAGGTGGCACTGTGCAGGGGTGGCACCTTAATGTTGAATAATGAGATGCCTGTATAATGCCATAACTCTACACCATAAATGATGTAGGGAATTATGTCATCATTATACTCTCATTATTAATCTAATATTCGTGTGATTGTCTTTTATTATAGCTAATTGGTGTCCTTTGTGGAATAGAGGACACGATATGTATGTATGTATGTAATGTACTGTATGTATGACCTTGTTTGACCTTGTTTGACCTTGTTTGATCTTATTTGACCTTGTTTGACCTTGTTTGATCTTATTTGACCTTGTTTGACCTTGTTTGACCTTGTTTGATGGTTGTTTATGTCTGTTTGGTGATCTATTACTCCTGCGTAATGGATAAAAATATTATTAACATTCAACGCTTCTCTCTGTACTAACATTTACATTCATTGATTTATTACTAATTAGGGTAATTACTCTACCTGTAATTACCATCACACTACCTGGGTTAGGTTTAAGGTCTAATTAACTAAATCTATAAAAGTTACAAGATCGTTTTAGAGTTAAATATTGAATGCTTTAAAGACCCGCTTGCAAAAACAACCCTCAATCACGAGAAATTAACATTGATCAGTTAAGTCAGTAGAGTAAGGTGTTATGGTTAAGTAAATACAAGGTAAATAAAGGGTGGATAAAGGCTCCTTAAATGGTCACAAACAAGGGGGCTTTTATTTAACCTCGAGGGCTGGATAAAGGCTCCTTAAATGGTCACAAACAAGGGGGGCTTTTATTTAACCTCGAGGGTGGATAAAGGCTCCTTAAATGGCTACATACAAGGGGGCTTTTATTTAACCTCGAGGGTGGATAAAGGCTCCTTAAATGGCTACAAACAAGGGGGCTTTTATTTAACCTCGAGGGCTGGATAAAGGCTCCTTAAATGGCTACATACAAGGGGGCTTTTATTTAACCTCGGGGGCTGGATAAAGGCTCCTTAAATGGTCACAAACAAGGGGCCATATTTTCCTTGGCTCGTATATCAAGAGCTAGGGTGTAGACAACCTTCTCTGCTGCACTGTCGACCATTCATCTTCATTCATGACTCTCTCTCTCTCTCTCTCTCTCTCTCTCTCTCTCTCTCTCAGGATGGTTTAACCCTTTGAAGACGATGTTTTAACTCAAACCACTTCCCATTCATCCCCCATTAAGACTATTCTATTCCTCATTATATTTTCCTCATAAACTGATTCATTATACATAAACTCTACCTTAAGATACTCACACATAACGTCGAGTGGGGTGGGGGCGCTTGTGACCGTATCGATGGGATTAGTTACAGAACATTGGTAGCTTCCTCTGGCGTGACGATTGACCCTCTGTAGTACCAAGTTCCTCCCCTGGGCCAACACCCTCTTCTCCTTGTCTGTATGTAGCTGACGACCCTGTAGGTGAGAGAGATGATCCCGTGTAGTACTGTAGATTCTGTTTACACTGATGTATTGTAGTGATGAGATGGGATGGTGCTATAGTGGAATTTTTATATAGCGGACTTTATTCTCGGTTTGTAATGCGTTATATGAGGTTTTCTTATTTAATGGACTCTCGATATAACGGAATTTCCTACCCATACAGTCCGTTAAATCGAGTTTTTTTTACTGTATTAACAACGAGATAGAAATGACATAATAAGGAGCTATTAAGAACGAGATAGTAAAGATAGTGAGCAATTTACGAGTTTTTAGTGAGAAATTTAGCAGTTAGGACTGAGGTATTAACGATAGTAGTTTTTGATACTTTGAAACTACTTTTTCTCTCTCTCCTGACCGTGTGTCCTCGTACAGCTAGGGACCATGGTGAGGGCGTCTTGAGTCACCCATCAACGAGATATTTAGCGAGATATTTAAGAGACAACAATGAGTCATCAATGAATTAATCAGTTAGATTTGAACTAAGAACAACACCAGAGTCATCAATGAGATATTTTTGGATTTATCAATTAGTCATTAACGAGACACAAGAAAAAGTAATCAATACGACATAAAAGAGTCATCAGCAAAGACATTCAACGAGACATCCTGGTATTAAAGAATCATGGACGAGATATCAAGTCATCAACGAGGCTTTAACGAGGCCTTAACGAGACTTTAACGAGACTTTAACGAGACTTTAATGAGACTTTAACGAGACTTTAGCGAGACATCAACGAGAACTGAGCCTCACTCCTAAGTAAATAGAAAATGCAGACATGTTCGTAGGAGCGAGAGGAAGCGTCAGGAGGGATGACAGTGTGTAAATATGAACGTAAGTCACTGTTGACAGGTGGGATGTGTAATTAAACTCACCTGCCACATTACCCGGAGAAGCCACAACTCACCTGGTGGAGCCACAACTCACCTGGTGGAGCCACAACTCACCTGGTGGAGTCACAACTCACCTGGTGGAGCCACAACTCACCTGGTGGAGACACAACTCACCTGGTGGAGCCACAACTTGCATGGTGGAGCCACAACTCACCTGGTGAAGCCACAACTCGCCTGGTGGAGCCACAACTCACCTGGTGGAGCCACAACTCGCCTGTTAGAGACACAACTCACCTGGAAGAGCCACAATTCACCTGGAAGAGCCACAATTCACCTGGAAGAGCCACAACTCGTCTGGAGGAGCCACAACTCACCTGGTGGAGCCACAACACGCGGGACTCTGGAGGATTAGCTCTGATCTGACACTCGAAGTAGACGTCGTCGCCCTCCTCTATGTTGTTAGGGTCGAGGGCGGGGGCCAGACGCGCCTCCACCTCCGGCGCGACTGTCGAGGACGAGGTGACACTTGTAATGTGTTCCTGTGTTAGACCTCACACACACACACACACACACACACACACACACACACACACACACACCTGCCGGTAGACGTGTGTTACCCCTACTACATGCCGTTTGATGTTTCTGTTACACTACACACCTATTTGACGTCACACTACACACCTGCATGACGTCACACTACACACCTGCATGACGTCACACTACACACCTGCATGACATCACACTACACACCTGGATGACATCACACTACACACCTACCTGACGTCACTACACACCTGCATGACGTTACACTACACACCTGGATGACGTCGCACTACACACCTGCATGACGTCACACTACACACCTGGATGACGTCACACTACACACCTACTTGCTGTGGCTGTTCATTTATTAAGTTTTTTATTTCTCTTCCTTTATGAGTCTTAAATACAAACATTACCTGACACCTTTGTAGTATAATTCCAAGAAAAGACAAAAACAGTTTCATGTCTACTTCAGCTCTCTTACGTGAAGGAGGGAGGGAGGGAGGGAGGGAGGGAGAGGTGGGGAGGGAGGAGGAGGAAGGGGGAGGAGGGGGAAGGGAGAAGTGGGAGGAAGGAGGAGGGAGGGGAAGAGGAGGAGGAGGAGGAGGGAGGAGGAGGAGGAGGTGTTATGAACAGGAGCCTGGTTCACTGAAGTTATGTTAGCCCAAGAACCATTTTTACCTCCGTCATTACCAGCCAGATCTTCACTGTTAAATGTTACTAAGTGGAGGAGGAGTCTTCCTAGTCGCTTCTACACTGAAATAATGTAACACCTGGGGAGAAAAAAAACACAAACAGAATAAAAACACAACACAGAAAAGATTCCCCCGTCGAGTTTTTTTTTTGTTTTCCATTTTCACGGTCGATGGATCTTAAATAAATATCTTTGTTGGCTGATGTTTGTGTTATATTACAAACAAAAATAAAAAAACCCCAGGAAAACAAAAATATAAACTTACATGGCCCATCGTTGAGTTTGTTATTATCAGAAGCAACAGTAAGACCGTTCCTCACCAGACACCATTATGAAACCTTATCACGAGGTGCTTTTTGTTATTTTTTTTTAGGGGCCGTCGACATAGATAAGAAATGTTTGGTTAAGTTTCCTGAGGCGATGGGAGATGTATTTAGAGACGACATGATTCAGGACGATACCAGGAAGGTTGATACGTGTAGTGGAAGGAACTGAGGAGGAAGAGGGAGGTTTGGGGGGGGGGGGTGAAGGTGAGGGAGAGAGGAGGGCAGGGCGTTGGAGAGGAAGGAAGAGAGAAGGGAAGGAGGGGAATGTGACCTCTAAACTAACCCCCCCCCTTAGTAGCTTTGTTGACCCCCTATCTCCCTCTGTTGTATAGACAGGTGAGGTAAACAAACCATTAACGTTTAGTATTGTTGTTGATAGTCAGGTAAATATGGTTGTTTGTCTCTCTCTACCAGGCTATTGTACTCTGTCATCACTGCTTCCTAAGTCGAGTAGATCAATAATAATACTTGATCTACTTCATGTACTCTGTCTACCCTCCATTACACACTTCTGATACACTTCTTCTACAATGTCTCTCTCTCTTAAATAAAATTACCTCCTTTAATATACCTCTACACTCTATTACTAACTGCTACAACAACAAGAAAAACTTTTACTCCAACACCTCACAACTTGCAACACCTCATACCTACACCAACACTATCACAAGATTATTATAACAACAACACTTCTACGCTAATTCACTCCACTTCAACACTTGTATTCTTAAAAGCCTACGAACACTCCACAGCGCCCTGGCCTCAGCGTCAGTGTTTTACGAGGAGACGTGATGAAACTGTGCGGTGTAGTGCTTGACTCAGAACACACGATATCGGAAAATAGGTTAAGCAGCTCCCGGTTCCTCGGCTTAGACACGGCTGACGGCAGGTAGGAGTGATCCACCTTGATTCAATGACTCTTCCACTTCCCCTCTCTCTCTCTCTCTCTCTCTCTCTCTCTCTCTCTCTCTCTCTCTCTCTCTCTCTCTCTCTCTCTCTCTCTCTCTCTCTCTCTCTCTCTCTCTCTCTCTCTCTCCTCCACATATTATAGTAAACTGGGGAGGGACACACACCACACACACACACACACACACACACACACACACACACACACACACACACACACACACACTCAACATAACATAATTTATCTCCATATAATTCATTAAATGGAAGTTTCACATCTAACGGACCTTTGATATAACGGACTTTCTTCTCTATAGTCCGTTAAATAGAGGTTTTACTGTGGATACTTAACGTGAATCAAATAAACAAAAGATAAGGACTAATATTCGACCTCTACTATGTTAAATTTATTGAGGAGATAATTAAAGATTTGACGTTTGGTGTGTGTGTGTGTGTGTGTGTGTGTGTGTGTGTGTGTGTGTGTGTGTGTGTGTGGAGAGAAGGAACCATTTGTATAATGACAAGAAAATTAAAACATGTGTAAATATGATAACTCATAGTGGAGGTGTGGATGGAAGGTGGAGTCGGAAGGTGGATGGAGAAAGGTGGATGATTGAGGTGGTTGGAGGATGATGGAGGTGGATGGAGGATGGAGGAATGTGGATGGAGGAAGATGGAGGGTACTCACAGTGGACGCGGAGTGTGGTGGAGGTGGAGAGAAAGTATTCATCCACCTTGGAGTTCGTGGCCGTACAGGTAACCGTCCGTCCGTTGTCCTCCGGCGTGGGAAGAAGACGAGCTCTCCTGAAGGTGGTATTGAGATCCAGGGAGGACTACACCATCAGGAGAGAGGGAGAGAGAGAGAGAGAGAGAGAGAAAGAGAGATTAATTATTATATACAACCTACATATTAACCTGTAAGCTTGCATCATTCATTAAAAGCAAAGTAATTATTCAGAAGTTAATCTCACAGTCACCAACACAGTCCACCAGTTCAACAACACAACCACTAAAGTCACCAACATATCCATTACAGTCACCACAATCACTATAGTCTCCACCACAACAGAGAGAACAGTCACAACCATCAATAAACAGTCACTATTATTATCACTACAGTCATTATTATTAACTGGCCAACATTTTAGTGATGAAACTCGTCCCTGGTGCAAATAGCATAGTCTCCCCTTCACCCATCACAGAGTCGCCATTTTCTTTAGTCCGTTTTCTTTTAGTTCATCGTGTGATCACTTGCACATACACATGATTGCACGGTAAAACACACACACACACACACACACACACACGCACACACACATACACATCTGACTCACCTGTGGAGGTAGAGGTGTGAGGCCATTAGAGCCGTCGATTTGCCAGGTGAGGGTAGCAGGAGGTCGCGATCCAGATGCTCTACAGACCAGCGTGGCCTCCACCCCCGCCCTCAGAGGTCCCTCCACGCCCTCCACCACAACCTCCACCGGTGGTACTGTGGTGGAGAAGATGGTGGAGTTGTTAGTCGCTCTGGTTGGGTGGTTGAGTTTGGTGGTTGTGTGTAGGTGTATGTATGTGTATTGATGTATGTGTGTAGGTGTATGTATGTGTATTGATGTATGTGTGTAGGTGTATGTATGTGTATATGCGTGTGTAGAAATAATAATCGTAGACTAAAGCTGAACATGATGGTATATCCATGTAGACTGTAATAACATCATAATATATAAATGATAAAACCCACTCAAAACTCACTGCTCAAGCCTCACTACTCTAAAATAATCATATATGTAAACTTATAATTTGAAGATGATTGAAGGCTTCTCCCTATCAGATAATGTATCAATTTATCCAAGAGACTCGCTGAAGCTTGAAACACCGATTCGGAAAACTGTATCGAATAATGGATATATAATACATCTTTCCTTTATTACTGAGAGTAGATATATATATCCTGTTTTGTTTTAATGTGTAAGTCATCGGGAAGAAACTTTTTGATCGCCTTGGATAATGTTTATAGACAGGTTAACACAGAGGCGCTAGTAAGTGAAACATGGGTTGCATTGTCCGTAGACTTTTATCTCATCTACTCACGGTACATTTCGATGGTGACGAGACGGGAACGATCTTGGGTAAGGTTGGTGTTGGCTGCTACACACTTAAGTTGCCTTCCGTTGTCTTCCCTCGTAAGTTCCTGCATTACGAGGGTGGCACTCACTACAGACATGGTTTGGTGGTGCCTCTCTGTGCCAGTGTAAGGTATGGTGTTTAGATCCTCCTGTGGCTGCGTCCACGATCTACCCACGACCTCTTCTCCAGACAGCCACTTGACTACGGGGGGCGGGTAGCCTGTTGATAGTGAAAAAAAGATTAAAGTTAGTATTTTGTTTTCATTGTTATGTTAACCATTCCACTCCACCATGCCGGGAACAGGAGGGGTGGAGAGGGAGAGGGAGGTACTATATAGAACAGGAGGGGTGGAGAGAGAGAGGGAGGCACTATATAGAACAGGAGGGGTGGAGAGAGAGAGGGAGGTACTATATAGAACAGGAGGGGTGGAGGAGGAGAGGAGGCACTATATAGAACAGGAGGGGTGGAGAGGGAGAGGAGGCACTATATGGTGAACAGGAGGGGTGGAGGAGGGAGAGGGAGGCACTATATAGAACAGGAGGGGGTGGAGAGGGAGAGGAGGCACTATATAGAACAGGAGGGGGTGGAGAGGGAGAGGGAGGTACTACAGCAGTGAACAGGAGGGGTGGAGAGGGAGAGGAGGCACTATATAGAACAGGAGGGTGGAGAGGGAGAGGAGGTACCTATATAGAAACAGGAGGGTGGGGTGGAGAGGGAGAGGGAGGCACTATATAGAACAGGAGGGGTGGAGAGGGAGAGGGAGGACCATATAGAACAGGAGGGGTGGAGGAGGGAGAGGGAGGCACCATATAGAACAGGAGGGTGGAGAGAGAGAGGGAGGCACTATATAGAACAGTGAGGTGGAGAGGGAGAGGGAGGCACTATATAGAAACAGAAAGGGTGAGAGGAGAGGGAGGCACTCATATAGAACAGGAGGGGTGGAGAGGGAGGGAGGCACTATATAGAAACAGGAGGGGTGGGAGAGGGGAGAGGGAGAGGGAGGCACTATATAGAACAGGAGGGGTGGAGAGGGAGAGGGAGGTACTATATAGAACAGGAGGGGTGGAGAAGGAGAGGGAGGTACTATATAGAACAGGAGGGGTGGAGAGGGAGAGGGAGGCACTATATAGAACAGGAGGGGTGGAGAGGGAGAGGGAGGCACTATATAGAACAGGAAGGGTAAACAGGGAGAAAAGACCCTAAAAAAATAATCTCACGTAGACATAAAACACCATTTAACTTTGTGTCGTTATAGATGGCTCTCCAAACACGCAACATTCATAGCCTCACTCCCAGGAATAAAAGTTATTTCACTCATGGGGAGGATTATTGTAGTTGTGTGTTCAATTACGTCCGATATACAGTGAGTTGGCGGAGCTGTGGAAATTGCGAGCACAACACACTGGAATTATAAAAGCAACGTCGGTGTTTAAAATAGGAGACAATTCATATCATTTAGGTTATTGTAGCTCTTGTGTTCATCGGAAGCTTACAGACGATCATGTATGTGTGTGTTTGTTTGCATGTTTCTGATGTGATATTCATTGTTTGTTTTTTTAAGAGAGATGTATTAGTAAGGGCAACCATGTGTAAAATGTGTTTAAAATTTACCTGATGACAACAAGGACGCCATACCATCAAGTAATTACGGTTAATCACGACCGAGGAATATGGCCATAAAACGATGATGATGATGATGATGATGATGATGATGATGATGATGATGATGATGATGATGATGATGATCTAGACTCTAACAATAGCTGGAGGCCCTCTTGACACACTCCACCACACATCTGCTTGGCGAGGTGGACGGGAGTGAATCACAGGCGGTGGGAGTGCTGGTTTGCTCCACACTACCCTGGGTACACGGGGGAGTTCTCCTTATCAGCCGTGTGGGGTGGCAGGCTTGTCTCCGCAGCACAGACGGGTGTTGTGTGTGAGCCAGGGAGAGAGGGAGGGATGGGTGGGGGGGGTGAGGGAGAGGGGGAAGAGAGGGAGGGAGGGGTGTGGGAGAATTGTTTGTTCGAGGCAGGGAGGGAAGGACGGAAAGGGGGGAGGGAGGGAGGTGTGTGTGTGTGTGTGTGTGTGACAGAATGGAAGGAGAGAGAGAGAGTGTGGAGGGGGGGAGTTAAAGCGAGAGAGAAAGAGAGAAATGTCACACAAAAATACCCACAGAAATATATCATCCAATTCTAACCTAAAAAAAAAAAACCCACATTAAACCCTAAATAACAAAATAAAACTCATCAAACCAAACACTGCCAAACCAAAAAAAAGACAATAAAACAACAGATTAAAAACAAAAGGCTTATGCATATTCTGTCTTGGTTGTTTTAAATGTCAAGAGGCAACAATAATAGCTCAGGTTAACTTCACTCGCCTCTCTCCTTGACTCTCTGTCGTGAGAATTGAAGAGGTTGTTGACATTCTTCTCTCAAGGAAGATGTGATATATTTATAAAACAATATGTGATGAAAGGTTGTAAGTAAACAGATCCTTTATATATGTAAATACCAAATCAACGTCTATTCCCAACTCACGTAAACAATATTTAAGAGTTTTATATCTTTATCATATAACCTGGTTGTATTTTTGTGATTTTTTTTAGTTTTTATGATATTTTCAGCATATATTTGTAGGTGTCTCTATCGTTAATTATTCGTAATATTTGCCTATATGTCTCATCAACTTCTCTCTCATCCACTCTGTTATCTCTCATTACTCACTTTATCTCTCACTCACATGCTTTCAATACAGGTATTTGTATATTCCCTAAAATCATTTCAGTCGCTTTTGTATTATGCTCACACAATACCCACTGTTCATATCTTCTCATGATGAATTACACTACATATATTTTGGGGCAGACTTCATTATATTCTAGTTCATATATCCACAATTCATTATTAACAACACCTCCAAACTTTTTTTTTGTGCTTTCATTCTCATCAGACATATTTACCTTCACTCCTCCCACCTGTCCCCAGCTTATCTCTTCTCCCCTCACCTGTCCCCAGCTTACTTCTTCTCCCCTCACCTATCCCCAGCTTACTTCTCCCCTCACCTATCCCCAGCTTACTTCTTCTCTCCTCACCTGTCCCCAGCTTACTTCTTCTCTCCTCACCTATCCCCAGCTTACTTCTTCTCCCCTCACCTGTCCCCAGCTTACCTCTTCTCCCCTCAAAGTACGAGCAAGGGGTTTCTCTCTCTCAACATACCCACACACACACCCACTGTACACTGCAGGAGAAACTGAACTAAAGGTTTAAGGCTCATTCTTTGATCCTTAATTGATCAACATTTCGGTGACTACAGACAACATTCTCAGTAACAATTTTCACAAATAATAAACTCCAACATTAACCTAATAAAAATTTCCTGATAGTATTTCCAGAGTGAGATTCAGTTAGCCAGACCTGAGTTTGGGCTAATGGAAGAACTAAGCTTGATAATGACGACCTGGTGCTTATTATCGAGATGACCTGAGCTTTAATAACAATGACGACCTAAGCCTAATAATGACGACTTGGGGTTAATAATGACGACTTGAGCTTAATAATGACGACCTGAGCTTATTAATGTCGACCTGAGCTTATTAATGACGACCTGAGCTTAATAATGACGACCTAAGCCTAATAATGACGACTTGGGGTTAATAATGACGACTTGAGCTTCATAATGTCGACCTAAGCTTAATAATGATGACCTGAGCTTAATAATGACGACCTGAGCTTTAATAAAGACGATCTGGGCTTTATAATGACGACCTAAGTTTAATAATGACGATCTAAGCTTAATAATGACGACCTTGTACATCGCGAGAGATTAATAAGGTATTTTTAGCAGAGTTTCCCCCGTGAGACTTGTTTGTGCTAATTTTCTCTTATACTTTAACCAAACATTTCAATAATTTACTAGAGTATATTTCTATCATAAGAGATTGCAATATGTTTTTATGGAATTTTATTGACAATTATAAATATTTTTCATACTTTTTATGTTTATATTTCAGTTTCGTGTTGACGTTCCACTCATTTTAAAATCGTATCGGCTACATGTCAACACCTCTGTTTATTTTATCATTTGCATTAAACAATATGACAGTTTTAGTGGCCATAACTCTGTAATTTGTTGAATATTTCATCGATGTGTATTTTCCATATCATAATATTTCATACATAGTAAAATAGTTCATGTTTATTTGTTATTGTTGCCTATACATAGTTTTGTTGTTCCTCTCTCACGGTGTTGAGAATCGTATGCTAAGTCAGCGCTTATAATGTGACTACAAAGATCAACACAGCCATGGTAGCGACAATAGTTATGAGGTAAAACTCTAAATATTCCATCTTTGTGAACTTAACGTTATTGTATTAATAATATCACTGGTTTTGTTGTCATATAATTTAATGGTTTAATAATATAAAACCATTATCAGGTTTTATCTTTGTTTTAAGACCGTTTTATGTCACTTTAACTTTGATTTGTTACTTGAATATTTGAAAGTGTTTCTATAAATGTGTCGAGGAATGTAAAACGTTGACTAAACGACTATACATAATTATAGTTTACTCTTCCCTATAATTTACACAAGATATAGCCTCCACTCTTCATATATACTCCTACATTATATATATTTACTTTGTGTTGTGAGAATAATATTAGGTTTTATTACGTCTGTTTAGGAAAGGCGAGGTTTGGTTATTGATATGGCGGGAAAGTTAGACAAATAAAGATGGATTCCTACCACAAAGACCCATCAACAAGGCAGGGAACTCGCCACCATCCACGCTGTATAATTATTGAAGTGTTGTGTGACGGGGGAAACCAACACACGTGTACCTTGATAATATATAACACGCAGAGTCTTATTTGTTTAATATCTCAAACTATTATCGACAGGAGTAATAATGTAGGACCAATACCACTAACCCTTACACGACGTCAAGCTTCATAACTCCTCTGGTACGTCATTTTTCACTTTGGCATTATTAATATCATTATACTTTACTGTTAAGTCTTAAATGTTACAGATTATATTAAATTAAGTCACTAAATATTATTAATCACACCTGAACTACCTGTTAGGAGGCACACAAGCACCAATATAAGCCTTCATAATGGTGTAATGTGTTGGGATGACTGACTCGGGTTGTTGCAGTGCTTAGTTCATTGTGTTGTTAAGTGAGTTTATACCTCTGTGGACACCCGCCGCCTCCAGGGAACTGATATTGGGGCAACTGTTTCAATCTAATAATCTTTTTCTTGCTTTTGTTTAGTTCTATTGTTTTTACTCAGGGATGATAAGTGAAACAATGTGGTTTTAGATCGTAACTCATCGCACGAATTATAAAGACCACACTATCAAGGAAAGAATTTACCACTATTGTTTTCCGTTCGTCTTTTGCTTATAGAGAGAGAGAGAGAGAGAGAGAGAGAGAGAGAGAGAGAGAGAGAGAGAGAGAGTTATTTTTTAGGTATAAAGGCATTTTTGACCTACCACCATACGCCCGACAGGACAGTACGACCCGGGAAGAGATCTTGTACGGCCCAGCCACTTGACTGATCATCGTCTCATAAGCGTCGAAGATCTCCAGGCTACGGATCCCTTCTGTTGAGTCAAAGAGAATTTCAAAGTCAGTGTTTATCTACCCTTGGAAAGTCTTAGCAGAAGGGAATAAATTAATGAACTGTTGGCTGGGTTTCTCGAGAATAAATTAAATGGTTAAAATCATCTATCAAAGTATTCCTTCTGTTTTGTGTTTGATATCGTTAAACGGAAGGAATAATTTGAAGTTGGTAAATTTACTGTGAATAGAGTTAATAGGTGGTTGATTATGGGTGTCTGATTGTTGTTTACCTTCATCTGAGAGACTACGACACTAAAGCCTTTATAAGAAGATATAATATTGAACTACACACTTAGTAAACCAAGTTGATTTAACTAACATTACTTGATATATTAAAACAAATGAATTAAAGTCGTTATATATGTTAGATTATGTTAGTTTTCGTGTCATTCCTCGAATAAATATTTAGCGCCGTAGTCACACAGATCGCCAATCATTTTATAAAATTTAAAAAAAAAAATATGTCGAAAAATATTAACAATTACATAAAACAGACACAAAAATAACTAACAATAACAATAAAATTTAACTTACCATGAACCGTCAGTTGAAGTAATGACATCAGAGTTTGTGAAGTCATGAAATCCACCCGGCAGGTGTAGTTCCCAGCGTCCGCCAGACTCACGTTCTCCACCTCTAAGAAACCCATACGAGTCTGACCCCGAGAAAAAATTAAATAATAATTTCTTTCTCATTCACAAGTTAGTGGTGTAATGGGGGATTGGTTAACAAGGACTAATGGCGCTGATTTAGTTGTTAATTAAGATGTAGTTGGTGGCGAGTGAGAAATGTGTTTGAGATTAATAAAGAAATTGTATTGAGTTTGACATAATAATAAATAATAATAATAATAAGAAGAAGAATCAATTAAATAAAATTGTATAAATAAAGAAAAAAAAAAAAATATAACAAGGTATTTCCACACGAGTCATTAATTAACACAGGTAACTAGGTGTGCAGGACAGGTGTGGAGGACAGGTGTGCAGGACTAAATATACCCTAATGATTTAATTACTCGCGGTTAATTACGTTAATTAAAATTTAATTGAAATTGACTGATGAATATATGTGAAAATTAATCCGTATATTAAATTAATCGGTTTAAGTGTTTGGTACTCAGTTAATTATAATTGAGACGTAAATTTGTTCCTGGCTCTTCACTCACTCACTCACTCACTCACTCACTCACTCACTCACTTACCTAAATACCGAAAACATTTAATAATTTTTTTTATAATTTTTAGAAGATTAACTATCCCATATTAATCACTGTACAGGTAAATTAAATACCTTTACATATATAATTAAACAGGTGTGACATTTCTCTTAAAGGTAATGTATAATATAAGACGTTAAAATATTTCCCCACTATAACTCAGAGAAAATCATCATAATAAAACCGACTTTATTGACAGTATGCAAATTAGAGTAATTTATCCACACCTGCGCTGAAACTTAATCTATATCCGCTTATCCACACCTGCGCTGAAACCTAATCTATATCCACTTATCCACACTTTAGAACTTGTGGCTAACTCTAGTCTATAAATCTATATATTGAGGACTCTGTGTGTGTGTGTGTGTGTGTGTGTGTGTGTGTGTGTGTGTGTGTGTGTGTGTGTGTCCCCTGTTTGATGTGACGTCGACCAAACATTAAGAGTTGCTGAATCCTGTATTTAAATCACGGAGGAAGGAGAGAGAGAGATTGAGAGAGAACGTGTAGATCAAGTCTCTCTCTCTCTCTCTCTCTCTCTCTCTCTCTCTCTCTCTCTCTCTCTCCAACTTTCGTTTTGACTCATTTTCTTTTCATCGCCTTTCTCTCTCTCTCTTTCTCTAGTTCTTTCACTTACCCTTTTTCTGTATGCATTTCTCCGGTATATATTATGATTTTGAGGTGGAGGTCAGGAGGTCAAGAGGTCACGAGGTCAAATGATAAGGTCAAGGTATTGAAAGAGATGAAAATGGTTAAAAGGTTGTTAGTCCCACAGGTGTTGTCCGTCTGTCTGTTAATTGTGTCTTACCTGAGGACCACTACAAGTAACTAGGTAATTACCCCTCTACCTAGACAGTCACTCAGTCAGTTACTCCCTCCAGTCAGTCAGTTACTCCCTCTACTCAGTCATGCATCCCTCTACTACCACCCCTCCACCCCACCACCCAGCCACCCCCACTACGTAACCACCCCTCCACTACCACCCTCCTACCACCACCCTCCACTACCACCCCTCCACTACCACTCATCTCAACACAGACTTAGGAACGCCACAACAGAAGGAATAATCATAGTGTGTGTTTTGGTCTATATAGAGAGAGATGGAAGCTTCACCACACCTCCACCACACCACCAGTAGTGTTACGATGTTTACCTCCCACACACACTCTTCATTTTCCATTTTCCTCTGTACCTGAGATCTGAGAGAGAGGAGGAAAAAAAAGTTGTTTTATCTGACCGGGGATTAAACTCACTAACCAAAATATATAATGAGGTATTCTATATGCAAATTAGAAGCTAGTAATACTTCTTTTAGGACGGTTCTCTCTCAGGGATGTTCGCTTCGGGTGTTTTTCTCGACAAAGTATAAAAAAAAAAGTACAAGAGCCTATAATAGGTAAGAGACGGAGGCTAATGATTAGTATAATGATGAATCAATAATGTGGTGGTCACTATTATTATGATGACAGGGGTGGGTGGGGGGGTAGGTGAGTGGGTGGGGAGGGTAGGTGGGTGGAGGAGGGGTTGAGAGGTAGGTGGGTGGTAGGTGGGTGGAGGAGGGGTTGAGAGGTAGGTTGGGGGGGGGGTAGGAACAGGCCTAGGGAGCCATCAGGAGAATAGTTTACTGTCTTCCAGGTGCCTCCCAGGTCAACAATGACCATTAGTTCTCCCTCACACACACACACCACCTCGCTGTTGCTCAGTTCTTTTGCTTCACTTTTTTATTTATATTGAATAATTCCCATATGTTCCTCTTCGTCAGGTGTTATATTATCCAATACCCAATATATCCTTTATCCTTCGGGGAACATAAGGGCGCAGTAGCCTTGAGTCTCCTCATTTCCTTGTATCTACACCAGGACCCCGTCAGGAAGGTCGTCAGATGATTAGAAAAAAGCGGGAGAACTTTCCAACAGAAGCGGACGTTGCTGTAGTGTGTCGTGATGGTGCTGGCGGCGAGAAAAAATTTATTGACATCGTGTTAGATCTGTCCCTCGTTGCTGTGTCTGTGTTGTAAAGGTTACATACTGTTTGGTTTAAAGTCACTCGTCTGATATATTGCCAAGGAGATAACTACCTTATTCATGGACCGACAGACGACTCTTCACTGATCTAATTGTGAAAGACTAACGTAACACTGTTCTTTTTTCCCTGTCTGAGAGTAAACGGAGGAAGTCTTGGTGAAGTCACAGGTGAAGTCACAGGTGAAGTGGACACATCCTTCAGCTAGTGTCCTGATGGTCGCTGGTTTGTTCCCGGGGCTCTCACAGTCGACCCAGTTGCATGAGTACCCCGACTTTAGTTTGGGAAGTATAGAGGATTGAGTACAGAGCCTCCTCCTGTACTGGGGCTCAGTTGTTCAATCTGTTATATGAACATTGTGTCTCTGGGTGAACACTTGCCAGGTCGTTAAGAGCGGCTTTAATAACACCTGGTGGACCTTCTCTGGAGACAGCGGCAGGAGGATCTTGATTCCCTTTGTATACTGAAGTTGTTTATTCTAGTAGGTTGCCTCAAGCGTCAGGGAGGAGACTCTTGTTCCTGTAAAACTCCTGAGTGAAGGTTGAGACTGATGCTGCTTTCACGGCCTCCTTCAGGTGTTTCAGGAGGTTTACTGTAGGTTCTCGTAGAAGGTTGTTTACTGTAGGACACATGTAGAAGCTAACGATGGATGGCTCATGTAGACTAACCCCTCACTACCTGGAGCCATTTTATGCCTCACTGAAGCTTAAGCTGTACTGGAGGGCATAGTGGCGGCGTGTTCTGGGGTTGTGCTGTGTGGCGGGCGGGTGGTAGTGGGTGGTTGGGGTGTTGGGTGGGAGGCGGGTGGTAGTGGGTGGTTGGGGTGTTGTGTTGGGTGGCAGGCGGGTGGTAGTGGGTGGTTGGGGTGTCGTGTTGGGTGGCAGGCGGGTGGTAGTGGGTGTCGTGTTGGGTGGCAGGCGGTGGTAGGGTGGTTGTGTGTCGTTGGGTGGCGGGCGGGTGGTAGGTGGTTGTGTCGTTGTGGCGGGCGGTGGTAGTGGGGTGGTTGGAGGTGTCGTTGGGTGGCGGGCGGCGGGTAGGGGTGGTTGGGGTGTCGCCAGTGGCGGGCGGGTGGCAGGGTGGGTTGAGGTGTCGTGCTGGGGTGGGCAGGCGGGGTGGGTAGTGGGGTTGTTGAGGTGTCGTGTTGGGTGGCAGGCGGGCGGGCGGGCGGGTGTAGTGTGTTCTTCGCCGTAGAATCTAATTTTGTTTATGTTGATCGTCACTTGTCTTCGGCTGGCGTGAGCCAACAGGGGAGGGGGTGATGGTAGGGTTGTTAGTGATCTCGAATTGGTTAGATTTGTTAACAGGATGATGGTGATGTTTTGATTAGTCCGTCCCTCTATCCGCCCGTCCGTCCGTACCTCCAGAAGAGCTCGTTAACGTAACCTTCGATGACAGTTTAATCTCTAATAACCTCGTTGGGATTGTTGCTTAGTAATTAATTCTTCTCTGTTGTTGTTTACCTGGTCATTAACCCTGCCCCAGTAAGGCCTTGTGTTGCCCTAATGACTCACAGGAATGGAATTCATTGCCCACTAATTTTCCTCAGGTAATTAAATCTTAAGTTCAAGGTCGTGTTTCGTAGCCATGGCCATACTCTGATTACTTGGCCATAGTCTAAGTCTGATTACCTGGCCATGGCCTTCCTCTGGCTAAATTATCTTGATGGTGAGATGGACTTAACAGGGAAGGAGGAGGAGGAGGAGGAGGAGTCTCTTTATGTACACCATCTGGGAAGGAAGGGAGGAAGGGAGGGAGGGAGGGAGGAGGGGGAAGAAGGAAGAGGAGAGAGAGACGAAGGAGGAGGAGGGAGGAGGTTAGTATTTTATGAGGCCAGTGGAGCAGAACTAGTGAGGAAGGACAAGGAAGGGAGGGAAGGAAGGAAGGAAGGAAGGAGAGGAGGGAAGAACATGAGAGGGTAAGGTGGAATAAAGGGAGAAGGAGTGAATTAGGAGAGGGTGGGACGGATGAATGGAACAGGGAGACAAACAGAGATAGATAGAGACAGGAATGGACAGAGAGAGAGAGAGAGAGAGAGAGAGAGAGCCAGTATTGTGCACAACCAGAATTAATGAAGTAAAACTCACACTAATGGCTCAACCAACCTTATATATGTACGTAACAGGACCTCCCACCCAAAATTTATTCACAGGACTTGTCAGAGCAACACAAAGCCTTAACTAGACGTGAACCAGCTACCCCCCCCCCCCACCCCCTCTCCTCACCCATGTCTTGAAATGTGAACAAGTCAACAAGATCCTACCGCAGATATAGGCTATGAAAGTCGTGTTTATGTTCAAGATTTTAATTTAACAAGAAAAATTGATTTGGTAATATTAGATGAATTTGTGTTTGAAGTTTATGGTAGGAATTTATAGTGAAAATTCCATATAGCGGATTTGTCTCGCTATATATTCCGTTAATGGAGGTTTCATATATAACAGACCCTCGATATAACGGACTTTCATTTTCGTATAGTTGTTTAAATAGAGGTTTTACTATATAAGGAAATGATATATTGTGGCTATATGATTAGACGTGAAGAACAGTGATAGATATATTAATCAGGATAATTGAAGGCAGGATGGGCGGGGGTGGCAGGAACCGTGATAGATTAATTAAATAAATAAGTTTATGACCTCAAAGGAAATCGAAAATGTGAAGATTAATAAAACTTACCGAACATAACCTAACTACCAACTAACCTAACCCAACCTAACCTAACCTAACCCCCACACACCAACCCACCAACCCCCACCACACAACCCACACCACCCACCCACCCACCCAACCCACCCACCCAACCCCACCCACCCCTTCACATATCTATCTCCACACACCAATGACTAATATGGCAAAATAAGTCAACTAAATACTATGGTAACTGTATCTACCATCACTTTATTGGTTATTCATATATACATTAATTATTTCCTTGGTCATTGTTGTTATTCATTAAAGTGTTTTGTGAATGAGTTATACATTATTTTGTTATAGTATTTTTGGTCTTTTGTCCTGTTCTTCACCTTTAAACAGACAGACAGACAGACACAGACAGACAGACAGACACAGACAGACACAGACAGACAGACAGACACAGACAGACACAGACAAACATACACAGACAGACACAGACGACAGACACAGACAGACAGACAGACAGACAGAGACAGACAAACAGACAGACACAGACGGACACAGACAGACAGACGGACAGACAGACACAGACGAACGGAGCACAGACAGACAGACACAGACAGACAGACACGAACAGACACAGACGGACAGACACAGACAAACGAACAGACGAAGACAGACAGACAGACACAGACAGACAGACAGACAGACACAGACAGAGCAGACAGACAGACACAGACAAACAGAGCACAGACAGACAGACACAGACAGACGAACACAGACAGACAGACCAGACAGACAGACAAACAGACACAGACAGACAGACACAGACAGACAGACAGACACAGACAGACGGACAGACAGACAGACACAGACAGACAGACAGACAGACGAACAGACACGAACAGACGACAGACAGACCACAGACAGACGAGACACGAAGACAGACAGACAGACACAGACAGACAGAGCACAGACAGACACACAGACAGACAGACAGACACAGACAGACAGACGAACAGACACAGACAGACAGACAGACAGACAGACAGAAAGACAGACAGACAGACAGACGAACAGACACAGACAGACAAACAGACGAACGAGCACAGACAAACAGGCACAGACAGACAGACAGACAGACAGACAGACAGACACAGACAGACAGACAGACACAGACAGACAGACACAGACAGACAGACGAACACAGACAGACAGACGACAGACAGACAGACACAGACAGACAGACAGACAGACAGACACAGACAGACACAGACAGACAGACAGACAGACAGACAGACTCCACATTATTCCTCAGTTACAATGGTCCTTAATGACGGTAATTTCTTCCCCTCCCCGACTTGACTGCCACATACTAACTACCCCAGTCAGCCACATACTAACTACCCAGTCAGCCACATACTAACTACCCCAGTCAGCCACATACTAACTACCCCAGTCAGCCACATACTAACTACGTCACCACATACTAACTACCCCAGTCAGCCACATACTAACTACTGTCAGCCACATACTAACTCCCCCAGTCAGCCACAACTACTAACTACCCCAGTCAGCCACATACTAACTACCCCAGTCAGCCACATACTAACTACCCCAGTCAGCCACATACTAACTACTGTCAGCCACATACTAACTACCCCAGTCAGCCCGTACAGTCTTACAACTTTTGGAAACACCCGACATTATTTTAATTTTGTTTGTTTACTTGTGTTAAGAGGTCGGCTGTCACCTGTTTGTTATAGTCTGTTGTTGAGAGTTGTGTTGTTTGTTTGTTTGTTTGTTTGTTGTTGGTTGTTTGTTTGTTTGTTTATTTTGTTTGTTATTGTTTTGTGTTTTATCATGTTAATGGGATTTTTTTTTATTTTTTTATTTTTTTTTTTATACGAGTAAAAAAGTTGATTTCTTTTTCTTTGTTGATATAATTTTCTTTACGTATTATTAGAGGATAAATAAAACTTCTTCCCTTAGTTAAGTACAGTGAAACCTACCTCTGACGGAGGTAGGTAATGGGTAGTCTTTGAGGGAGATAATGGTGGAGTCTTTGAGGGAGATAATGGTGGAGTCTTTGAGGGAGATAATGGTAGAGTTAAAAAAAAATAAAAAAAAAAATCAATATTGAGAGTATTATATATTTTTGTACATTATTCCATCTGGTAATTAACATAACTCAATCCTTGACAACCACACCTGTACAATATCGCGTTTTATACCTGAACTAAAACACGTGACATAAAAAAAGTGTTGATTTGCAGAAACTAAAACAATAAACTTTGCTTTTTTTATTGGCACTGGAGGTGGGAAAAAGTCACCTTGGTATGTAGGATAGAAAAACACCAACCATTAGAGTGTTTGTAAAAAGGTGTTTAATACTATTTACTGTGTGTGTGTGTGTGTGTGTGTGTGTGTGTGTGTGTGTGTGTGTGTGTCGGAGAAAATTCACTGTTTAATTTCTAGCTTAAGTTTTAATGATATAGTGTGTGAGTGTTTATTGTGGTCAGTAAACGATAAAAAACTATTGTCTGTGGTAGTGTTTGATCTTGTTTATATGTGTTTATATGTGTTTTTATGTGTGTGTTTATATGTAAAGATAGTTTCAACAGCCCTGGGAGGTGTATAGAAGAAGTACGTTGTTGGTTGCTGTGTAAAGTTCCCTGGGTGACACAGTTCTCTTGCATGGTGTAAACAGTTCTGGTGGTACAAACAATCCTCCTAGGTGGTGTAAACAGCTCTAGCGGTACAAACAACTTACCCTGTAGTTGTGGGGAATAGTCTCAAGGGTGAAACGTGAACGCCAGCCCAAGCGGGAGTTGTCGTGGACCTTGTGTTTACCTCGAGTTCTGTCCCGGGCGTCGTAGCTGTGAGGGAGAGAGGGAGAGTGAGCTGAGAGGGAGAGTGAGCTGAGAGAGGGAGAGTGACCTGAGAGGGGGAGAGAGGGAGTGTGTCTAGCTGAGAGGGAAAGGAGAGTGGGGAGAGGGAGGTGAGCGGGAGAGGTGAGCTGAGAGGGAGGTGACCTGAGAGGGAGGGAGGGTTGTGTGTCTTAGCTGTGAGGAGAGAGGGAGAAAGGGAGGTGGGCTGGGGAGGAGAGGGAGGGAGGTGAGCTGAGGGAGAGTGAGCTGAGAGGAGGGAGGTGAGCTGAGGAGGGGAGGAGGTTATGTATCGTGGCTGTGAGAGAGAGGGAGGTGAGCTGGGGGGGAGGGGAGTGAGAGAGGGAGCTGGAGAGGGAGGTGACCTGAGAGGGGGAGAGAGGGAGGTTATGTATCGTAGCTGAGAGAGAGTTATATGTATAGTCTCACGCTTATGTATAAATATGTATTTCCTTTAATGCTAAATTCACCAAAATTACTTCCTTTCCACACACACACACACACACACACACACACACACACACTCTCTCTCTCTCTCTCTCTCTCCCCTCTCTCTCTCTCTCTGGACCCCTACTCAGTACATGTCTTACAATACAAACCAGACGCCTGTAACTGTACTCATGATACAGTTTGTCCAATACAGACATGACTGTAACTGTATTCTATGGAGATAATTAACAAAAAAACATTTGTACTATATGATACAGGTACGATACAGGGTTACATCACTGTACCTGTAGAAGGGCTTGGTGGCAGCGTCCTTGTACCAGAGGATGAGTGTAGGCTTATCGGCAGGTACAGGTAGTTCACAGGGTAGTTTGGCTGTTAGACCGGCCAAGGTGATCTTCGAAGCTGTTGTGGTGGCTAGGAGAGAAGGAGATCACTTTAAATAAGGTCAGAGAGGTTAAATAAGGTCATTAGGTCACTCAGTAGTGGGCCACACACACAACACACAACACACACACACACACACACCACACACACACACACACCACACACACACACACACACACACCACACACACCACACACACACGCCACACACACACACCACACACACACACACACCACACACACGACACACACACACACACACACACACACACACACACACACACACACACACAATATTACTCCTAAGCACTATAACAAAGGCACTATAAGATGCATCATATACAATAAACTATACTAATTTTCACAGTCTTCCTACAGTAGCGTGAGCATATATTAATTTTCCAGGATATAAACAATGTGTTAGTGTGAACAAATAGTTTCGACCATGAGACACACACACACACACACACACACACACACACACACACACACACACACACACACACACACACACGACACACACAATATTACTCTAAGCACTATAGCCAAAGGCACTATAAGATGCATCATGTACAATAAACTATACTAATTTTACACAGTCTTCCTACAGTAGCGTGAGCATATATTAATTTTTCCAGGATATAAACGATGTGTTAGTGCGTGAGGACAAAGTAGTTTCGACCATGAGACACACACACACACACACACACACACACACACACACACACACAGAAGGGTTAGGACACACCAAACGTTCTTGAAGGTTATGATACCCAAACGTTCTTGAAGGGTTATGACACCAAACGTTCTTGAAGGGTTATGACACACCAAACGTTCTTGAAGGGTTATGACACACCAACGTTCTTGAAGGGTTAGGACACCCAAACGTTCTTGAAGGGTTATGACACACCAAACGTTCTTGAAGGGTTATGATACACCAAACGTTCTTGAAGGGTTAGGACACACCAAACGTTTTTGAAGGGTTATGACACACCAAACGTTCTTGAAGGGTTTATGACACACCAAACGTTCTTGAAGGTTATGACACCAAACGTTCTTGAAGGGTTAGGACACCCAAACGTTCTTGAAGGGTTATGACACACAAACGTTCTTGAAGGGTTATGATACCAAACGTTCTTGAAGGGTTAGACACACCAAACGTTCTTGAAGGGTTATGACACACCAAACGTTCTTGAAGGGTTATGATACAAAACGTTCTTGAAGGTTATGACACCCAAACGTTCTTGAAGGGTTTTGACACCCAAACGTTCTTGAAGGGTTATGATACACCAAACGTTCTTGAAGGGTTAACACACCAAACGTTCTTGAAGGGTTATGACCCCAAACGTTCTTGAAGGTTATGACACACCAAACGTTCTTGAAGGGTTTTGACACACCAAACGTTCTTGAAGGTTATGACACACCAAACGTTCTTCAAGGGTTATGACACCAAACGTTCTTGAAGGGTTATGACACAAAACGTTCTTGAAAGGTTAGGACACCAAACGTTCTTGAAGGGTTATGACACGCAAACGTTCTTGAAGGTTATGACACACCAAACGTTCTTGAAGGTTATGACACACCAAACGTTCTTGAAGGTTGATACACCAAACGTTCTTGAAGGGTTATGACACACCAAACGTTCTTGAAGGGTTATGACACACCAAACGTTCTTGAAGGTTATGACCCAAACATTTCTGAAGGTTATGACACCAAACGTTCTTGAAGGTTATGACACACCAAACGTTCTGAAGGTTATGACACCAAACGTTCTTGAAGGGTTATGACACAAACGTTCTTGAGTTATGACACACAAACGTTCTTGAAGGGTTATGACACACACAAACGTTCTTGAAGGGTTATGACACACCAAACGTTCTTGAAGGGTTATGACACACCAAACGTTCTTGAAGGTTATGACACAAAACGCTCTTGAAGGGTTATGACACCAAACGTTCTTGAAGGTTATGACACACCAAACGTTCTTGAAGGGTTATGACACACCAAACGTTCTTGAAGGGTTATGACACACCAAACGTTCTTGAAGGGTTATGACACACCAAACGTTCATTTGTCAATAAACAAACTCGACGTATTGACTATCTGAATTAATTGTCGAGGTTAGAGAGAGAGAGAGAGAGGTAAATAGAAGAACGAGAAGGGGAGTGAGAAAGAAAGTGCAAGGTGAGAGAGAAAGAGAAGGGGAGTGAATTGAAGAGCGAATGGAGGAATTAAAGAAAATAGAAAGGAGAGACAGAGAGAGAGAATGAAGAATGTATGTGAAAGATATGTGAAGACAAACAAAATGAGAGGGGGTAATATAAGAGAAGACAGAAACAAAAGGAGAAGGAGAGAAAGTTGAATAAGGAAGAGGAAGGAAATGCAACAAAGAAAGCAGGAGGAGGAACACAGGAAGAATGAAAACCGAAAGGGAGATGGAAGGAAAGAAAGAAATTATGGCGAAAGGGAAGGGAGGGAAAGCAGGAAGTAAATAGAGGAGACGAAAGAGAAGAAACATAATGTCAACAAATAAAGACGGGAGAGAAAGAGGAGGAGATATTAAACAAGAGGATAGGGGAGAGGCCTCGCCTCACTTGCATATTACACAATTATAATCTCACAGTGTATCAAGGCTGGCAGTGTGCACCAGGCTGGTAGTGTGCACCAGGCTGGCAGTGTGCCAGGCTGGCAGTGTGCACCAGGCTGGTAGTGTGCACCAGGCTGGCGGGTGTACCAGGCTGGCGGTGTGCACCAGGCTGGTGGTGTGCACCAGGCTGGCAGTGTGCACCAGGCTGGTAGTGTGCACCAGGCTGGCAGTGTGCACCAGACAGGCAGTGTGCACCAGGCTGGCAGTGTGCCAGACAGGCAGTGTACCAGGCTGGCAGTGTGCACCAGGCTGGCAGTGTGCACCAGGCTGGTAGTGTGCACCAGGCTGGCAGTGTGCACCAGACAGGCAGTGTGCACCAGGCTGGTAGTGTGCACCAGGCTGGCAGTGTGCACCAGGCTGTTGAGTGTGCACCAGGCTGGTAGTGTGCACCAGGCTGACAGTGTGCACCAGGCTGGTAGTGTGCACCAGGCAGACCTCAGGCAATAATATATAACTGTGTTTGCCAATATCGGTCCCTTATATTAGTTATGCCACAACAGATAGGACAGAAGGTAACGCTAAAGATAACACCGTTGTATATCACGAGATGGAAGGTGCACACACACACACACACACACACACACACACACACACACACACACACACACACACACACACACACACACACACACACACACACACACACACACACACACACACACACACACACACACACACACACACACACACACACACACACACACTCACACACACACACACACACACACACACACACACACACACACACACACACACACACACACACACAATGTATCTCAATAAATAATATGGAAATGTGGAGTATCACCAACCCTCAGAGATGATAATGGCATTTTTATTTCCCATTCCGAAATCAACTTTAATAAATATGTATAAAAATATGAAAACAAAAATGAGTGAATGATTATCTATATAACAAATGCCATTGATGTGAGCCGTGAAGCCTTAGCAGGGCGGCAAGAGGTGTTTTAAGGACTGGCCTCTACAGTAGACTTTTAATAGTGTAAAACGTAACCCTATCATCTCTATTCATTAGGAAGATAAACAGGTGTTTTTATATGAGTCGAGTGGCTTAATTGAGTTTTAATGGAACGGTGAGAAATTATTATTTTTTTATCGTGTTTGACCTTTGTGACCGGGAAAGGGGAAACAATGACTTAGTTGATATTAACGATAACAATAACATCTCATAAACAATAACAACAATAATAATAACTTCAACAGCAATAACAACAACAATAACAACAACAATAACAACAACAATTATAAAACTATCTCCACCACACCACCGCCAACAACAACAACAACAACACCACCGCCACCGCCACCACCACCACCACCGCCACCACCACCACCACCACCACCACCACCACCACCACCACCACCACCACCGCCACCACCACCGCCACCACCACCACCACCACCACCACCACCACCACCACCACCACACAAACACCAACAACATCAAGCAAAAAAAAAAGAATAACAAGAAAAATAAATGAACACAATGATAAAGGAACAATATTGGCTGTATTTTACAGGTTGAACAGTGGGATTGGTCCTGACATTGTTTGACGATTAATTGTACCTTTTGCCGAGGTGTAACATGAAATTAAATACAATACCTCCTGTGTGTGTGTGTAGTGTGTGTGTGTGATGTGTGTGTGTGTGTGTGTGTGTGTGTGTGTGTGTGTGAGTGTGTGTGTGAGTGTGTGTGTGTGTGTGAGTGTGTGTGTGTGAGTGTGTGTGTGTGAGTGTGTGTGTGTGAGTGTGTGTGTGTGTGTGTGTGTGTGTGTGTGTGTGTGTGTGTGTGTGTGTGTGTGTGTGAGGTGTGTGTGTGTGTGTGTGTGTGTGTGTGTGTGTGTGTGTGTGTGTGTGTGTGTGTGTGTGTGTGTGTGTGTGTGTGTGTGTGTGTGAGTGTGTGTGTGTGTGTGTGTGTGTGTGTGTGTGAGGTGTGTGTGTGTGTGTGTGTGTGTGTGTGTATATATAATATATAAATTAACGGTTTTATTGAAAAGTTCTGCAGCCCGAAGGCTGAAAATATACTTGGACATAAATGACTATTACACATTAATTGGTTTAACAAAAGCCTTCATTAGAAAGGTAAAGGAACATACAGTGAACATACAGATTAATGTAGGTGTTGAACAGCAACACGTAGTGTAGTAACTCCCTCTCAGATGGTGTTAGGAGGACCTCACGTGTATGTAATTCCCTCACAGATGGTGTTATGGGGGACCTCACGTGGTGTAATTACCTCCAGATGGTGTTATGGTCTCACGTGGTGTAGTAATTCCCTCACAGATGGTGTTATTAGGGACCTGACGTGGTGTAGTAATTCCTCACAGATGGTGTTATGAGGGACCTCACTGTGGTGTAATTAC